TCTGTCCAGGTGACTCTGCGCTGTAGGATACTCTCCCACTTTGTCCATGCCCCCTGCTGCCTGAGCCCCACTCTTCTGCTCACTCGCTCTTCCTCCCTGCCGGCTCAGACCTCTTCCTGGATTAGCTGGTGTCTCTCCTTCCCTCGGGCCTTGCCTACTTGGGTCTTTGGGAAAAAGCCCAAGCCAGCTCTCCTGGTGGCCAACGTCTCCACCAGCTCCTTCTGCCTGAGGCGTGACTCCACCACCTCCACTGCTCTGTGGTTCATGGTGTAAGTGCGCTTGATATTTCCTCTCTTGACAAGGCCGCATCTTTCTGCCGCATAGCCATTGACGATGGCAGTCATCGTATGGAGTCGGCGGTCTGCATCTCCTTCTGCTGTAACTTGGATGATGTTCATCACATCTCTGCCAAACTGTGACCATTCACCGCCCTTGCTGGCTGGGGGGCCATATATACTTGAAAGTAAATCAAAATAAATATTCTCTCAAACAAATAAAAATAAAATAAATATCCATAAAGGTGTACATAAAAAAAAATTAACTGTACCTGATTTGTGCAACACAAATATTGTCTCAAAAAATACAAAGCATAACAAAATAAATATCCATTATGATGCAGTATTTAAAAAAATACCTGTGCTGTAACTTGTATTCACATTAACAACTTCCATCTTCACGTCAGGACATACGCGCACGCGTACTGACGCAGCTTCATCCGGCCCTTTCCAAATGTTACCCAGGAGAACCGCACAAAGGTTCCGCATTTGCTGCATTTGTTCTATACATATGCGTACTGAACCGAAAGATCCGTACCGAATATGTGTACCGCTACACTCCCACCGACGACCTGTATAAATCATCATCACAAAGACGACACCGACCGCCTGTATAAATCATCATTATGGAGATGACGACGACAGCCCATACAAATCGTGGTCACTGATAGCCCATACAGTAAATAGTCACATGCAGCATCGGTGCTGATTATATGACAGACACCCCTGGGGAAGTAGCAGACGACCTTGTACCTGAAGAAGGTATGGTGCTCCACACACACTTTCCAGAGCCTCTTAGAGGCTTTGCAGTTGGGCAGCTTGAAGCCAATGGTGCTCTCATAGTGCTCTAGCTAAAAAAACACATACATGCAGGTTTAAGTGTCTTCCACTGTACCAATTAAATAATTCATCCATGTTCCATAACCATTTATACAGAAGTGGGGCAGAGTGAGTCTGGAGCCTCTCTTAGGAAGGGTAAGGTAAGAGGCAGGAAACAGTGCCGGTCCACACACGCACACGCGATATGCAGTTTTGAGGGGCTGACATGCCTTTGGACAGCAGGAAACACGAGGAGGAAACACGATTGCCAGGGAGAACAGGCAAACTCTACATGCATATAGCTGGAAGAGGTTCAAACCCACAAACCACAGAGGTGTGAAGATACAGTGGTGACCACAAAGTCACCATGCTGCTTAGGAGCAAATAATACAAATATGGCTTTAACACAAATGAAAATGTACTAGTCAAACAAAATAATACTAATAATACGATATTTAAAATGCAGGAGAACTGAAAATTGTAAAATAAGGCAGCAGAACTACTTAAAACGCTCTGCTTCTGTTTATAGTGGAATGGCAAAGGGCAACATACCTCAGAGGGCCGCACTTTTATGTAGAAGTTGCTTCGTTTGTAAGAGATCTTAAGGACTTTTGGCCAAGGGAAGCGGTTGATTCGCAGCTTATCCTTGTAGACCATCAGGCCACTGGAGCAGACGCCCAGCATGATGTCCACACCCTCAAGGTCCTGAAACGGAAGCAGAGTTGTGCATTACTCACCAATGAACCACTAAACACTCTCTACCGCTGGCTGTAACTGTCCAAATCAAACAAGAGGCACAATGACAGATGTGTACCACTAGAGGGCAACATCAACCAACAGCTGATATTAACAAATTCCACTTTTGATCTAAATCCCTGCCATTATGCAAACAAATTGACCTAGTTTCTACTACTCAACCCTATGTCCTGTCCAAATAGAAGCTTTACAAAAGTCAGGCTGAATTCATGGCTCTGCCATTTTGGTTACAAAACACAACAAGGCACTTCAACTCTGGAGTTCATCAAACTCCTCTGAATGACAGTTTCCTTGTTTAATATGCATTGAGCGATAATCTCAGTGGATTTGACTAGAGTGTAGATAACATAATGATGATTCTTTTAACTATCGCTAAGCTCTAAAGTGCCAAATTGAACAAAAGCACTGTCCAGCATGGCCCTAGTCATGGCTTACAATGAAGAACCAGGCCACCCAAGTAGATACAGAGCTGATCTTGACACTGAGTGGCTACTCCCTCCCCTCAGCTGAACCTTCCTACCCGTTACGGACATCCATCATGGCCCCTACCTTAGCTGGATGGAAGTCCAGTCCATACATAGATAGTTTCTTAGCATTTTCCAAAAACATGATGTCAGCCTGTGACGGGATCATTGACCTGCAGACAGACAGGAAGTGAAGTTAGTGAAGAAGACTGATGCACAGTCAGCTGGTCAGGAAGACAGTTAATAAGACAGAGAGGTTTGCAGACATCCAGTGAGCAGGAAGACAGACGTATAGGTAGTCTGAGAGACACACTGAAGCAGCCAGACGGACAGAAAAGGATGTGTACAAAGAGACACACAAAATGGGCTGACAGACAGATACTGATGCAATCAGGAAGGTCAACTAATGCAGATGTAAAAGATCTTCACTGAGAAAGTGAGCTTTCATGTGTATGTAGCACTGCTCAGCAGTAAAGCAGCCTACGTAGGTACAGATGTGCATGTGTGTGAACACAGGGCTGCAGGACGGTTTCAGAGGTGCTCACTTGTAGGTGCGGTGTAGCTCCATCACCTTCTCCTCCAGCTCCCTGCTGGGGCGCGGGGCAAGCCGCACCTGCCGAGTGTAGTCAGGGCCGTGCAGGTCCGGATCGTACTCACCCAGCTCTGACTGGACCGCGTAGGAGCCCAGCACTGCCAGTGTCACAAAGGAGCATGGCAGCCGGCCACTAAAGATGTCCTTGCGTAGCTGCAGACACAGGTAGTACCTGAGGGGAAGAGGTTCTGGGTCAAAGGTCAAGGATCACTGCTGGCGTGGGACAGTTCAGAGCTGAGGTCGTCTTCCAACGGGGGCCACAGGTGGACTGAGCTCTTAGATGTGTTACCTGGTGATGTCTTCTGTCAGCTGAGTTGGATCAGGTGGATAAAACTTCACATTGAAGGTAAACTCACAAATTCCTGAGGGAAAAACCATAGTGTGTGATCTTCCTCATGATGCTACGTGCGACTGACTGAACACAACTTGTCACAATTGACTGGCCACATTAATTCCAGCAGACAGCAGCCTAAGTGATAGCTAACTACCTACATCTCTGGACTTCAGCTCCTACAGCTAAGGCCAGTGCCCTGGACACAGTGCTACATCTCTGGTGATGCTCACGTTCAGAATTCGATAGAACATCTGTCACCGCGGTCATTACGAAAGAGATGCTTCAATTGTTCTAGGACAAACTTCCCATAAAACATCGCACTGGGAGACAGCCAGCTTCCTTTGAAATTCAGGCATGGAGCTTGATGATGAAAGGGCACTAACCTTGCGTCTGTTTGCGTATCTCCTTAGCGAAGTCCAGCCAGGTCTGATGAAGAAAGAAAAACACCAAAGAGCTTGAAACATGCAGACAGCTAAATATTTGCTGGTTTGTTTATTAATACCTCATGCAGAAAAAAGAAAAATCTCCATGACTCAATGTGAGTTATACAGTATTGTTCCAAAGAGATGCCTAGCCCCAAAGTGCAATATCAAGACACACACACACGTTTCTCATTATATGTTTGTGGGGACTCACCATTCATTTCTATGGAGGAAACTCTAATCCCAGCATGATGACCTTAATCCCTACCCAGCCCTAACCTTAACCATAAGTAAACAAACAAAATACGAGGCATTTTTAGTTTTTTGAATGCATTCACAGATCTTTGTGGGGACCTGAAAAATGGTCCTCTCAACGTCAAAATAACAGGTTTCTATTACATTGTGTGGAACATTTGGTCCCCACAATGTAATATAAACGTAATCCACACACACACACACACACACACACACACACACACACCTGTGGACAGCAAATCAGTGAGATACCAGGCCAGCACCATCTGAATATAGGAATGTGAGTGACTGGTAAAAATAACCTACATCGTAGGACGTGAGCAGACAATCAGCGATGACTCCCTCAAGCCCTAAAACTATAACCACTAACCCTCAAAAGACCAAAGCGGTGACCTTTGGCTCCCCTCAGCTCCCCTGTGTTTCTGAAACACATCACACCTCTGCTGATCTGCTCTCATTATCTCAAATATAACAACTCATCAACTATTTCCAGCCCGCCTGTCTTCAGAGATCACGGGCCATTTTTAACACGTCTTTGGGTCCTGGAGGAACACTGCAATGCTTCAGAGCCACAGAGGGGAGCTTCAGGAGGAACAAATTGCTTCGGAGCTTTAGAGGGGAGCAGTGCTGTTCCTGACACACCCCCCTATTCCCCGCATTAATATTAGGTTGGACTAGCAGGGGACCAGTCGTAACGTTCAGCGGAAATGATGGTGATTTGAATAACTAAACAGGAAGGGAATTTAGCAATACTGATGACCGCAAAATACATCCATCTCCCAAACACTTACCCTAGAGAGAATTACAGGAAGCATACCTCACAAGACAGGAGTACACCCTGGGCAGGATGCCAGCCCATCGCAGGGCACATGCACCCAGTCATAGACAATCACATGCTACAAGCAATTTAGAGACACCAATCATCCTAAATGGATGTCTTTGCACCATGGAAGGACACCCATCACAAAATGCAGGATGATGGAAAGAGCAGCAGTAGGGTTTCTATGTCACCCTAAATGCATATGAGTTTGGACAGGACTAAAGACTTTGCTAAATGGAACCAATAAAGAGATAAAAATCAATTTAGTAAGTGTGTAGCACAGCTGTACTGCGAGTGAGCACAGGAGATCGTTAGCGCCTGAGCTGTGGAACGGCTCAGTTTCACCTCGCCCTCTGGAGCCACGTCAAGACAGCCCTGGGAGCGACATCGACAATACGCTGCTGACTGGTCGCAGTAATTATAGACGCGACTTTAAAAGGACAGCAACCTGGAGAGTTTGTCTGGGGGCAGTGTGGTGCATTGAATAGTGAGTGGCTGTTTAGTCTGCAGCCAATAAGGGCAGCCAGCACAGAGACACGCCTTCGAACAACCCAGACTTGGAGAGCCAATCAAGATCCTTCTGTTCACTTAGTGCAGCGTATCCCAACGCGGGCTTCGGGGACCTGCAGTTACTCCATGTTTTTGCTCCTCCCAGCTCCCAGTAAAGGAGAGTTTCTTAACACCTGTATTATCAAATATATTTTGCCGATCTTTCATTTTTTTTACTGTTAAATGCATACGATACCTTCGTGGTGGGTGACTCCCAGAACGCCAGCCCATAGTAATCCTTCTCCAGCAGATTCATGTGGTCACACACCTTCATGAAGAGATCCTGCCCTCTGCTGTGTTTCTGAAAGGAAAAACAGGAAGGAGGAATTTAGACAGAGAATATCTGCACTCTCTTAGTGGGCCGAGGCCTGCCAAAGCCCTATTAAACACACACACAAGCACACAGAGACAGACACACACACACAGACACACAGACAGACACACGTGCTATGAGCTTCTCGGACAGTCTGCCTACCTCCAGCTCACACTCGTACTGAGTGTCGTCGAGCAGGGTGACCTTGCAGTGCATGTTGTGCGCTTGGCGGCCAGCTTTCCGTGTCTTGGATCCCTCCTTCCTTTCTTGATCCTGGAGGCCTCCTTCCCCGTCCTCGTCCTCCTGACACCCCCTCCCGGCCTCCTCCTCCTCCAGAGAGTCTTTCTCCGTGTCTTGGTCTTCTTTCTGGTCCCCGTGGACCAGCTAGAACGTGCACACACACATATAGACACACACACGTCGTAAAACAAGTGTTCGCATCACCTGCTGCGATGTCACATTCTTTTCCCAGTATGCCAACTAAAATGCCAAAACTAGGCAATCCCCAGTCACCTGTATCTCTGCACTGCTGAGTGACTGCAGGTCGAGAGGGGTGTCCTCCTCTGCTCGGAGCTCCGGCTCTGGGTCTGCGATGGGGGCCTTCAGCTCCTTCGTCTCCCACTGCTCCCCTGGCCTGTTTCGCTCCTCCTCAGAACACTGTGACCGTTGCTTCCGGAAGGAGGAAAAGAGGCGAGAGAGTCCGCGCCCCCCTGAGCCGCGCGTGCGAGGTCTCGGCACCTGGTCCTCCGGGGACGACTGGTCCTGCTGATCCGGGGGCCCGCCGGGGCCCCGATCCTGATCTGGACTGGGGCGAACGTTCCTACGCTGCTGCCTCTCGGCCTCGTCTGTCGTCATGGCGACCACTGCAGGAGGGGAGGGACCACAGTGAGGTGAAAACGGAAACACAGCAGTACAGGCAGAACCTGGGCACCATTGCAGAAGAAAGTGGGGACCATTCAGTGGAACCCATTTGGAGCACTAGAACTTGGCACCTTAGAGTCCATTTTGGGAGGCTGACTGATTATGAGCCTGTTACGCTGATTCAGTGAAACTTACCTATTATATTTCCCATTGATTTCTTAATAGCTTTGTTTTTGCAGACATAGCGGAATCACAACCTGGAACATTCTGGAACCCTAACACCGCAGAGATCCGAATGTTCTCACCCCTGAAATGAGCCACGGCCTTCCCTTTGGGGGCAACAGCACATGCTACAGCTGCACCACTCATTTACATCGCTGCCTTTAATCTGCTCTCCTGCCCAGGTGCTGGAAGCATCTGTTGCCTCGACAGCGGAAGAGGCTCCCTGGGAATGAATGGGGGAGGTGCAGACATAAAGCATCCAAATCCTGCGGCGAGCAGCTCCTCTGAAGCCTGCATGGACTGTCTGACTGACCCTTCTGGGACCACATTAATTTTAATTAACGAGAAGCAAGAAGTGTTTCCATGCTTTCAATTACATCACAGGCAGATATGATCACCTACAACAGACTCTTAGAGTGCTAACACTCCTGAAATCCGCCCCTTTACACAAAACACTGTAGAACTCTAAACAAAGACCTTCACCTGTAAGTACACACCCACCGGCACCCTCTGCAGGGACCCCCACCCGCACAGCCTCAAACTTATGCTGTCTCTTATCATTCCCCCTTCTCTGAGGTCACATTATGTTCATGGTTTTCTCTGCAAACTGGCTTAAAGAACTCATCTCCGATAAACTCGCTCGGGCTTCGGTTCCAGCGAGAGCTGGACTTCAGCACCGCTTGGTGTTATTTAGAGTGCAGACTTGCGGCTCTGCACAGAAGAGCAAGCGCATATACGCAGCTGTGTCTGCTGGTGCATGCCGGGAGAGCAGCCAAGCCAGTCTGTGCGTAATCGATTAGTTAGAGGCAGGATGCTTTGTATAGAGAGACACAGAGGCAGAGGAGGGTCAGCTACGTCTTAGGCATGAGGCTGACCAACTTCATTGAATCAGGCACATCCAACAGGTGCAGAACACAGCAGAAATCACATCCTATCAACCCACCGCAACTGGTGTATCCTGTGATGCGATTGGCTGTCTGACCATCCTGTTCCTGGCCACAGCATCCACAGGAGTGCAAATACTGCCCCAAAGGCACTCGCATGAGCACATGGAAACTCATTTAAATCCCAAAAGGCTTCCTTCTTCATAACCGTTTACCAAAATCAAACCTCAGGGCAAAGCTGCTTTGAGATAATCCCAGCACGGGATTAGAGCTTCCCAGATACCGATGTGGTGGTCAGTGTGTGCAGCTGTGCACTTTCATCAGCCTCTCCAACAATAACCCCCCCCCCCCACCTCTGCATACGGCACTCAACCCCAGTCTCTTAATCCACCACACAAACACACGTGCACATTTCTAAACGCACTATACGTCTATTGACTGTGGCTGGAAGCTCATCTCCTCAATTTGTCCTTTGCTGTCCCGTTCTGACCGCTCACCTGGTGGTGTCTGTCACTGGCCAGGTTAGGACACTGACAGGCAGGCCGCAGAGGATGCAGAGGACTAAGGAGCCGTAAACAAACAGGAAAGTGCGACAGTCAGCTCCCCCCTCCGGGGAAGAGACCTGCTTCCTGACATCAGCTCTCACCAGCTCCACTGGAGTCATGCCTCAACGTGTTTGCAAGCAAAGCCATTTAATCTAGTTTCATCACCATCATCTTCACCAGGGAAATTAGATAACATGCTCAGTTTAATACATTCTACATGCTTGTCCAGTTTATCAGAGCCAGGCCCCCTAGTTCTACTCCTGCTCTTAGGATGCACTGCATCACCAATGATGGTAAAAACATAAATTTGACCACATGACAAAGAAGGTGTGTGCATTTAAAAACTTTTGTCAAAGAATGGCACTGAGTCACAAACAGTAATATTGACGACATTAAGACATTAGGACATTAAGAATAAGTACAGAGGAAAATATAAACCTTGCACACATATATACATACGCATAGTTTATATATTGTATATAATATACAAACATATATGCATATTAATGATTGATGACCAGTTTATTACAGGCAGATTATTAAACCTGTCAGCGTTTACTATAATACTACACGTCATACTCAGATTCTGCGAAAAAGAATGAAAGCAGCAGTTAAGTAAATGTCCAAGAAAGGACCCAAGAGACTCAAATCATGTTAAGGATGTCGATCTAACTCCCGAGGTAAGTGGAACTTCACTGAGCCGCACCGGGCAGCGCACACAGCCCCGCCGCCCCCCGCCCCTGCCCCCGTCCCCGGGGCTCAAACTATACGCTTTGTTTACATGCATAAGCCGCTGTGCTGTAAATCAGTGTGGCTGCAATTAAAATAGAGACATCCCGTACATGTGGCTGCCAATGTCCCTATACTGCCAGCCGTACTACACCGTGCAGCTTAAACGCACCATTGTCGGAAATCAACTGCAACTCATTACGCAACATATGATTTTAAGATTGAGATCGCAATATTTTCAACTTACATTATTACAGTAGGTTTAAGGTATTTGATTGCATTTATTGTATATATTAAATCTCAGTGAAACAATGTTCACACCCATATTCAGTTGCAGAACAACCCCTCCTACAGTCATATTAAAATAAATCTGAGGTTAAAACAATATCTGTCGGTAACATCTCGTTTTATTTTGCGTTTATTACATGTTTCACGCCACCCCCATCCACCATCCAGCTAGCCTTTCATCACCACAACTACTCATTAACCCGTTTCAAGTCTATTTACTTTACAGCATATTATGCGATTGTCATATTTTAATGCACCCACTGAAACACTGAATAGAAACTGGCAGGCGGGCATTTAAACGGTACGAAAATGGCGCCGAACGTACGAAAAAAAGTCTATACAAATTTGAGATCAACACACCACAATACACAATAAATCAATGAAGCACAATGCCTTTGCGTTGCAATTACCTTTTTCTCCAATCCTCTTTGCCTTCGATGAAGGAAAACAAAGCAAGTCCACCAGAAAATAAATATTTATGATCAGCAATTCATTCATACACTGGATACAACGGTGTTTAAAAATAACATGCGTGTTTTTATCCGTTCCTCTTTATAAACTGATGCTACGGTTCTCGTAAAAAGGTGGAGCTACTAATGCAATAAGCAAAGTTGTTTCAGAAACTGTCCAATGGGAAAGGTTCAGTTACAGAGGTCGTCCAATCACCGTAAAGATAGCCGTTGTTCGATGGCAACCGCTAAGACTGTCGCTGCCCGAACAAGGGCCTTTAAACTGCTTTGCATATATGACAATAAAACAAAACAACGTCGTCAACATTTTACATAGAATCCCTACGATCATCGTACATAATAACGAGTAGTGTATCTTAATGGAAATTCCAAATTCTCTAGTCAGCCAATTTAATTCTAGTAAAATATTAACGATAAACCACTGCCTCGTGTCGCTCATTCAGAATTTTGCTGTTCGCTTTCATTTATATTCCGGTTAAATATAAACATTGCCCCCTGGTAATAACTAAAAATAAATTTAGAAAATAATAAATAATTGTAAAATAATTTGGGGAAACCTGAGAACACAGCGCACGAGGAAGGACACGCCCCGGCGTTAAAAAGAGAAAAATGTTAAGGTTAAATAAACAATAATCAGTAAAAAGTAATAACGATGATTATATAACTTTACAGCCACATGCACACAAATGAAAGCCAGAAATCCCCAATGAAGATGGGCTTTCTGAGAAGCTGGCCATCCGCTCAGAGCTCCCTTGTACGACTGAAAATGACTTTCGTCTATCCGTCCATCCACCCATTCATTCATCAAAGACAGGGTCATGATAGGTGACTACTGTTTCCTCTATATTTAGGCTCAATATATTCCCCGAAATCACAGGACTGTATATTTTGAGTAATCCAAAGTACAGCATAATTTAAATATAGAGCAATAATTATTAGTTTTAATTTATCATGTACCGTTATCTATGTTTATATGCTTTTATTAAGTCAAAATTTATTTAAACTCCAGTACATAGCTCATGGGTCCAACAGCAGTTCCTGTGTTTAGAAGGGAGTTTCATTGGTCTCAATAGTCTGTGATTGTTGTAGTTATCGGGACACACTGTCTGCCTCGTATTCACCTTAACAAAACACAGAGCAAACAACAAGTATTCAGAAGGGGTCTCCTTTGTGTTCCTATTGCGTTCCCATTAAGAAAACCGAGTGCATTTAAAGGTGATTTACCCTTTGGCTGGAACAGTCCTTTGATACACTGGGTGAAACCAGTGGTTTGTTCTCACTATAATAAGACCCCCTAGTGGGCAGCTGCATCAGCTTCCTGTTTATTTTTTCCATTTTATTTTTGTGTTCTATTTTTCAGCACAGCTCCTGTCTCCAGGGCTGTTCTCTGGCCAGTCTGCATGCTGCATGTTCCTGCATAATCCCCATCTGGAGCCAGCAGCCACCTCTCCACCCCTTTTCCATATGGGGCAATATGCTGCCACCTAGTGGTTGTTCAGGGAACTGCTATGGTAAAAATCGTGTGAAATGTGCATTATTCCCACTGTATCTTCGCAAGCAACGATATGTCTGGTATAAAAGGAGGAGCATATTTAAAACAATGATGTCTTTAGTTCATTCAAAAATCTTTCACAAATCAAGTATGTGCTGACAATTTTTGTAGTCTTTCTTATCAGTTCTAGCCTAAAATCAATGAACACTCCATGAAAAGTCGGCTTTAAGCAATATGTTATTATCTGGAAAAAAGCATGACTTTGTGACCAGTGCTAAGAGAAAATTATTTACTGGTTCGACCAGCAGAGGGCAGAATGCAAAACACAAAATTAACCTGGCATACTCACCAGATATCACCACATAGAGCGTGGTTCAGAATATCAACAGCCAATCCAGGACACGGAGAGGCACAGCATACCGGGAAAGAAAGAGAGGCACGAAACACCGTCAAAAGGACAACATACAGTCAAATACATAGCTTACACATGACACGAAATCACACGTTGTGTACGGCGTCGCACACACATATATTGTACACGGATATATGTTTGCACCCGTATATATTATACATGTATTATATAACACAAAAATACACATGGATCATGATAAAAATATATACACATACAGTACATGTATTAAAACACACACACATTATATATATAAATAAAGGGATATAAAGCACACATACAAGCATGATAAAATAATGATTTAGATGCCAATACATACATATCCATCCAGGTATATGCACAGGGCACCTGCACAAACCTCATATGCTTAATCCGTGCAGTTTATACACCACTGTAATATGTTAAAACAGTTTACTGCCCACGCAGATTAATCATAAAAATAACTCAACTGTTCTCATGAAAGCCTGCTTCTTATGTCATTGTATCTCCAAAGTACTTCCATATACATTCTCTGCAATAACAATGGATTTAAATTTTTAAATAGTGTATAAAACAAATATAAATATAGTAAATAGGCAAACACAAAAAACACTGTGTATGTCTTCCAAAATAATCCATCCAGTGTTTCCAAGGTCCAGAGCAGTAAATTTAGCAGAGTGGAAGCACAAACCTGAGACTCTGGATCAAATACCTGAGCAGTGTGTCTTTATTATGCAAGCAAAGCAGAGAACTGAATGGAAACCCACACAATCAAAGAGGGGGCTTGTAAATCCTATAAACATGGCGATGGGGCAGGACTTAAATACGTGAGGTAATAATGCTGACCTACTCATACATAAATTCATTCTTCCATCTTTCGTTACTGATTTTGCAGGATGCCAGTCAGCCTAGAGTCTATCCAAGAGAGCTTAGGAAATGAATCAGGGGGCAGGATGCGATGCCAGGTCACTGCATAACACACACTCTCACACACAGCTACACATTAAGGGTATCTGAGACATCAGCTTGCCTAATTGCATCTTTTTGGACTGTGCGTGGTGGGGAACATGTGGCCTCCGACAGTCGGGGGAGGATATCAATCCCATAATTCAGAAGGTGTGAGGCCGCAGTGCCGCCCACTGCACCGCCGTACAAACCTTTGTATTCAAGTATTACTGATTCATAACACATGTTGGCAAATATAAAAATATACATCACACATTAAAATAATATTTCTAAACGTGTGCCTCTGAATCAGCCGCCTCCTTCTGCTTCGCCAGTTTTTGTGTCTAATCTGCCTGTTTTCCCCATCACATAAGTTCAGTTTTCTCTATCCTCGGGAGTGAAGTCTCCTCTGATAGCGCTAAAGATAGGCTTCATTTCCGTGACATATTTCAAAGCTCTTCCGTCGGCACTGCTCCCGCTTACCTCCCAGGCTCGTTCTCACGAGTTAATGGACCAGTACGTTTGTGCGAATGCACAGCCTCGCGGAAAGGCTAAGGACAGATGCTGGCCATGCACCTGTTAATGCTGCGTGCTGCGAGGGGGCAAACCCTGTGCAATGATTCATGCCAAACGAAACCGATTTGTGCAGAGCAAAACTGGACATAACTGTAGAGTGATGATTAACTGGATGTAACTGCATTCAGTAGGATTAGCCACTGCGACAGAGAATCATCTTTATAATCCAGTTAACCATCCCACAGAAATGAACTAATTCCTGATATAGTGATTGCATCACATGGGATTCAGGTAGGTCAGCCTTATACCTGTAATGCTTTATATGGTTGAAAATAGTTTAATTGTGTTCCATTATTAATTTTCATTCATTCATTTTTCCTGAACAGCCTGTTCCAGGCAGGACACATCAGTAGGAGAGAGCAGTACACATACACAAGATGCAGCTTTTGAGAAAGTACACTGGCACACGTGGAGAATGTTCAACTCCACGCACACAGAGGCTGGGACAGGAACTGAGCCATCATTCTGCACTTTGATATTTTAAAACGACAAAAACAAATTAGAAATCTATCACATTCCAAGTAACACTGAAGGAAAAACTACAAGGAAAAACAATGTGTACCCTCTTGCAGTTTGAACTTGTATTGATCCCAGGTCTAATCTCAGAATATACAGGTCTAAGCCATATGCGTGAAGGTGACTGGACGTCCCATCAACTATACAAACAAAAGCCGAGGAAACGCTAATGCAAATACGTGTAGAGGGACGCCACCTTAGATGTCCAAATATTTCCGAGATTATGTCGCAAAGACCACATATCGGTGTCCAGAAGGCATAATATGAAAAACGGTGCAGAAAGAAAAGGCATCACGGCTGAAAGTAAATCGTGGATGGTAACAAAAAGCACGCCGCAGAAAGAAGGTTTCATCACTCCTGACAGCCTCCACCAAATGAACGTCCGGGAGCAACAATATCCCGCTGCATTCCTGCACGGAAGGAATAAGGACAGTTGGGCGCAGCACTTCTAGTTTGCTTGATCTCTGATCGGGATCCGTCAGGGTGCGCGCAAGCTGACACGGGCACGAATGCAGCAGGGATCTGGCAACAGCGCTGCTTTCGCACGGACAGGCTGTTTACAGAGTAACATTATAACCAGTATGGATGGCGTACACAATAAAACGATAACCCAGATTTTTTTTATACTAACACCGTACATTGTTTTTCTCTTCGTATTTATTTTGACAATATCTGATCTCGGTCTAGCGTACCGAGAATGGCAGCATGTTACCCGGTCAAAGACGCGATGTTCTGGCTGCCGGCTGTCACCGTGGAGCTGCCGTCCCGCACCGACCCGCTTCTAACTGGGCGCGCCTGAGTGCGCCGCGCTGTTTACGGGCGGCGGTGCCCGTTTAAGTGAAAAGAAAGATCTGATCAACCCGGACGACAATGAAACACTTGGACAAAACGGGAACGCAAGGAAACATTAAAACTTGACCGCACTGAGTGACCGAACAGAGTCAGAGTGTGAGCATGTCATGCAAATGTTTATCCGTGGGTTTACGCGTGTGTAATATATGTGTGTGCACATATATTACACACACACGGATCCGAAAATATTAAATATCATATATGAAATTTCAAATGAAAATATATCTAAATATGTGACTACAAAATTTATTCATACATCATGTTGTTTACCTTATAGTCTTTAAGAGCTGCCTCCAGTTCTAGCTCGTTATCATTTACCGTAATTTGCCACTTTGAGGCATTCTGCAGTTTTTTCGGACACGGCCTTCCTCGCGCTGGAAAAAAAAAATGAAACGTCACGGAGCGGCTTCCCCCCCTGCCCATATCACAGAGAAGAGCTTCTCCGCCTCCCCCGCCCTCAGAAGGCTATTGGAGCAAGACACGCGAGTCCCGCTGTCTGGCCGTAGTGAAGAGGGCTAGCAGGTGTAAGCACTCATTATGCCGGGCTATAGCATATTATGTAAGACGTGCTATAGAAATTGCATATATTTTAGTATATATGCGTGTTTTTTTTTAAATCCGATTGTTATGGTAAAATGCATCTAAATGAGCGATGAGTGATATATCGAATATGGTCATATACGCATGTATTTAAATTACACTGCGCATTACACTATCCCGTTAACGCATATGTTTTATGTGATTATGCATGTCCGCTTTATAAAAGGCTTTGAATATTCGAGAAACCAAATTCAGCTTCTGACGTCAACATACACCTCCATCTGGGGAAGAGCTTTTGCTTGCATTCGAGCCAGGGGAGCTGCTACTGTGTCGTAGATGGACAACAAATGGCGGCGTGTCTGTGTAGTAGCGGCTACCGTATTCTGCTGTATAAAATCATGGGAATGGTATGCGGGGGGGGGGGTCTGCACGGTAACGTGCACGTGAGCATAATACTGACAGAGCATTGCACTTAGCAGTAATTAAATGTGCACATCATCTCATAGGCTAAAAACAGTCACCCACAATATGTTCAGTGAGTCATATTTACACGCATAGCGGTACATTCCATAACAGAAGCATAAATACGGTGGAAAATACTTGTGAATTTTAAGTAGAATCTGTTTTCTGTGATGGACTGGCATCCTCCCGCTTTCTGCTTCCTGGGATGGGCTCCAGGCAGACCGTGACCCTGCCTAGATACAGGGTTATGGAAAACGGATGGCTGCAGTCTGGTTTTCTTTAAATCAATACCAGGCGTTCACATAAGTTAATTACATTGTTGCTGTTTTTTTTTAACCGTGCACAAAGAAACAGGTATAATTCTGTTGGAAAAAAAAAAAACAAACCTAAAAGATGTAACATCTAATTCCAGAAAACAAAATATATTATTAGATGTCTTGAGAGAAAAAAAAAAAGACTGCATCCATGTTCATATTTTCAAGCATCGGAAAGTAAAGAATTCTCAGAATGGTTTCATGTTATCTACTGTCATCAGACAAGGCACATACCCTAACTGGCAGCTATCGGTCCCGCAGGCAGGAGCCCTCGGGAGCAGAGATAGGGCCCTCGGGGCAGTTTAGCTTCAGTGGGTCACACTGGGCACACCCACCCCAGGGATCCAGCAGTTACCAAAGTCATGTGGCTAATTTCAAAGAACATACATCTGACAGAAGCCACATTGTGTGTTTTTGTTTTTAAAAAAATACAATATTACCTATATCTCCAAGAAAAAGCACCATTTGTAAAGTGTTTTTAACCAGTTTTTCCTCTGTGTGTGATCAGAATGACCACCTTACAACCTCATGTTACTGTTATTAGAGCACAGAAGTCAGATAAAAGAAATATGCTGGTATGAGTCAATGAGATACGGCCTTAATGTGGCCCTACAGTTGAGTTGGTAGGCAGCCAGCTATTTAATTGTGGAACAGTGGAAGCCAGTACTTATGAATTAGCAGGACACAGAAAATTCACAGACTGCTATATAAAAGGAGCTTGGTGACAGCAGAGGAGTATTCTGGGAAACAAGTCGGATTCCGTTAATCTCAAGGTAGCAACCTTAAATCCATAGAGGCACTGCAGTTTTATTTAGTGTGCATGCACATGCTATCAAATACCACTAGATGGCAATGTTTTCCTCCAAGTTGGATAATGCTTTTCAATGCTTGTCTGCGAAACCCACGTTCTATGCGTGTGGCATTTGTAAGCTTATTGTATCCAAGCAGTCTGATTAAGCGGTTCAGTTCATAAAACCTCTGTGCAGAGAAAAACAACCTAATGCAACACTGAAGTCAGCTGCCTCTCCCAGTAATATTACCTGGTAACATTCGGGCTCGAAAATGGAAACTAACAAGCCACATCATATGAAACTGAGCATATATTCCTGTACTTGTTCTCATTTTGTCAACATATCTAAAGCAATTTTGTCACATGTGTGTTGAAAGCTCAATTGATCCGACTTCTCAACCAGGAAAAGCTTCCAGCCCAATCATAGGTACCATCAGGCAGCAATGAAATCAACTTTAAAAAGCAAATTTGCTTGAACCATTTTAGTGGCATTTAATTACAGAAACATTAATGCTTTAAAAATCTTACATTGTGGATTGCAGCATCATTATGTAGTTAAACAGTTCTTATTAATCACGTGACCAGCATGTGCGTCTCAATAACATCCACCAGTGACAGTAATAATATAAAACACTGAATGAAGATTTATCACTGACATCCTAATGTGATAAGTTGCCTTTGTAATCATATCTAGCTATTGTTCTTAATCTGTATGGTCAGATATCAGCTATAACACATCAGTTGTTGGGATAGCCACACCGTAGCCAATCCCCTGATAGCACTTCAAACCAGCCCAGATGACCAGGAGCTTGTTGTCACACACACACACACACACACACACACACACAAGCAGTGCAAAATAAGGTTAGTGCAGGATATTCCTATTGTAACTTTACATATAGGATAGTACTTCATAAATAAGTCCCCAAACAGAATTCCCAGGTGTCTAACATACCACACCTCAAAATATCTAAACACCATAACCCATCAGTCCAAAATCCCCACCCCTAACTCACAAAAACATTTCTTAGCAGCAGACGTTTTTATCCAAAGCATCACAAATAGAGCCCCATCCACAATGTCAATCACTCATGGAAGACAAGCTCACCCCTTAACCACAGGTAGTCCACAGTCCCAGGGGCTACACATCACTCCCCAAAAAACACATCACCCCCATTTCTCCACACCCAATCATCCCAGACAGACGCCTCTCCAAAAAGAGGTCTTGGTCAATAGGATTTGGTCTCCTAGTGCAACATCCAGGTGGGCAAAACCATGAGCTGGTTCAGCTGGTGGCCAGCCAGATGACGATGGCCAGGACAGTAGCTACCACCGTCAGCACCAGGATCAGGATGCACATCTTCTTACGGGACTTGTTCTGAAGCAGTGGAGAGGAAGCGCCTTACTTTCCAGGTTCTATTTGGTACTTTCCAAATAGCCAGCCTCTTATTCGACAGCAATGCTGTCAATCATGTCTTGGTAAATTCAACTGCCCATCTTTTCACTGTCATAGCAGGACTGTAATTTAGCTGCTCAGAAGAGATACTTGTCCTTGTGCCTTAAACCACTAAACAGCTGAATGGAAGCAATGTGGGGAACTCAACTTGACCAAGAGTGCAACAGCAGTCATTGGATTAGATTAATTACATCACCTGTTTCCCATTTTAAAGAAGAAATGATCACCCTGAACAAAGTAGAGATATTCTCACCTGGTAGTGGGCCGTCTGATGTAGGTGGTCCACAGCATGCTCTACATGGACCTGTGTGCTCTCCACGTTGGCCTCTATGCTGTCTGCCACACATAAATATACCACTACTCAGAGGGTCCGAGAACCACATGCACAAGCAGCTGTGCAACCCCCCCCCCGAACACCACCTACCAACCATGTCGCCCTGGTCATGAATCATCACTGCCAGGTCCTTGAAGATCTGGTTCACATCCATGATGTCTGACTGCAAATGTTGGGGATAAGCTTGAAGTCTGCAGCCATGAGCAACGTTGGAGTGGGAGAGATCAGACTCATACCTCCAGCTGCCGCAGGCATGTTTCTCTCTCCTTGATGAGCTCCAGGTCCTCCTCAGTGATTGAGGGCTCCTGTGTTTGGGCTCCTGTCTGCCCCCAGGCATCCTGACTAAGAGGCAGAATGTCAGTAGGACACAAGGGCTGCAGGTTACGCTCCATACCATTAGGTCACACTCACAAGGATGCACTTCATTACCAAAATAATCCCCCACCTGGTCCCCTGGACTGTAGCCCAGGGTCACCCCAAGTGACGGAAAGTAACTCACTATTCAAAGGAGATCAGCTGATCTTCACGGTTGCCATCTTCTGACTGCGGTAGATAAAATCAAGTCACGGTTGGGCAGGGGAGGAGGGAACAGGTCATAGCTAGAACAGCACAGGCGCACGGGCCTTACAGAGAGGCGGGAGGCGGCTCGAACCCGAGCCACGGAGTCCTTCCCCCGCTGGGCGGCACGGCGCTGTTCGGCCTGCAGGTTACCAAGAGCGGCCGTGAAGTCATTCATTAGCCGCTCCTTCTGGATCTTCTGCTGCCTCTGCGGGAAAGAAGCCGCGCACGTGATCACATATACACGCAAAAAAAAATTTGGAAAAAAAAATGGAACATTCCCACGGTCAGTGGCATGCATCCACGGGGGCACCTGCTCTGATGGAGACGTAGGTAATGGCAGGGAGCCCAGGTCTTTTACAAGTCGGTTGCTCTCTTTGGCCAGTTGGTTGGTATTCTGCTGTAGCTGCTGCCTGTACAAGCAGAGAAGACTTAAATCCGAGCATCAGGTAACAATGTGCTTCAGGGATAGATTAGCATACATATGCTACACAGAGGTCCACTGCTTCACACAGAAATCTAGTTGCAGCCCTACTCTTCTGATGTATACCAAATGGACACCAATGACGATGACAGAGTGACACTAAAAAAAGGTAAGTTTGAGTGCACTGACACTCTGCAACCGTCCTCGTGTGATGTGATGGACTCACAGTTTCTCCCGCATCTCACTTGTGTCCTGCCTGGTCCCGATCTGGTTCACCAGGCTCTTAATCTGAGCCGCTGTGGACAGCGGAAAACAGCAAGAACTTGTGTGTCATAGAAGAGATTAACCATTAGATTTACATGCTTAAGACATGGCCTAATTCAACACAACCGTCAGTAAAATAACTGCACACCAACAATATTATGCTATATACAACAAACTACATATACTATATTGCCAAAAGTATTGGGACACCTGCCTTATAAGTTAGAAGTTAGTATCACAATGGTACTCTGCCAGGAATTTTAATCTGAAATTCACCATCTTTAGATAGGGGTTGCTAATTCAAATTCTGCCCATGATGGATGGAGTTAAAGTGGCTTACCCAGATTTGGCCAAATTTCACCAAATATAGCCACTTACTGTTGTATGTGATCTTCTGGATGTTGGCACTGCATATCTGCATGAGGGAGCTGAAGTGCTTTGGATGCCCGCGGTAGCTGTCTGGCCTGCCGTACGACATGGCGGCGGGAAGCGCGGGGAATCCCTGAAGGAGGAAAGAGGGTGCCAGACATGTTACTGGAACAAACACAATTATCGCTTCTTGGTGCCAGTTACCAATGATCAGCTTCAAGTTAATATTTCAGTGCAAAACAGACAATGAACAACATCAGAGGCTAATTCAGACTCCACGGATCATCGTTCAAATTCACTTGCGGACCATACATTTTCAGCATAGTACAGCACTGCTACTGAAATATGACATCAAACTGAGGATGACTCCGATACCATGACACAGAGTCCCTGGGCAAAATCAGGCTGGAAAGTAAAACACATCATACCTACTGAGCCATAAAATGGCTTTACAGGGGCTTCAGCAGGAAAATTAAAATAGATTAAAATAAAGTGTACCATACACCTTGAGAACCAGTATGACTTAATTCCACATTTAACCAATTTAGTAAAGTAGAGCACAAAAGATCCTTAAGCATCCCAGACATTTAAGACAAAACTGTATCTTTGAAAGGCATGGCCACAAACATTGAAACAATGCAGCGAAACGTGGAGAAACGTTGCTTCGTTGAACAAGTACTAAAAACCAAAACAAACAGTGTTACTGGCTCCTCGGTCTCATCTGCGGATCAGATCAAACAGCCCAGCAGGTCAAACAGGACGGTGATGCCTCAGGCAGTGTTTACATGAACGACGGCCCGGACTGAAATACAACTTAACCTGCCTTAGACAACTTATGAATCTGTAGATCGCAAAATAAACACGAAAACAGAAAAATAAATGTTCTTTAATTCAAATATAAGCTTCCGGTGTAAACTTCCTTATCTAATGCACCTTCTTAAAGCTGCACAATACAATAAGGGTAAAACTCTAACGTTTGGTACTGCAAATTCTCTAGACTTTATACTCGTTTCTGCATCTGACACTCTTGCTAAAGAATAGACTGTAGTCAGTTCCCTACATTCCTGATTGCCTAGCTAGTAGGTACTTAAGAGAAAGGTAATCTAAGGTTAACCATATCAGCTCCCGCGTTGTAGCCACTAGCCACGACAGCCCCACATCACTTTCATTTCTGTCTCATTCTCATTGTCTTAGACCGGCCAAGTCCAACGACGAAAAGGTAAAAACGTCCCACGTCCAAGCCTTGTATACCATGCATAAAAGAATGTCTTACTTAATGTTGGCAGAGGCAGCCCAGAATCACACAGATCAACGTCAGCTTTGCTCCCGGTCCCGTCCTCCGTCTCCGTGACAAACCGCGAAATGAGCGGATCACCCGACGTCACTGCATACTTTACCTTAGTGAAAAGAAATAAGGCTTTGCGTTTTGTCAGCGACCTGACTTCAGCAGCGGGTGTATGGGGTTAATGTGTAATGTGGCTGATAATACCCTTACCACCGGCTTGTGTTTTGTATATAAATATTGTACTTAAAATTTATTTAAAGATTCGAACTACTAAACACCCTGGACCGCTCTCATTAGGTGAAGAAATGACTAATAAAAATATTGCATAATCCATACTGTTTAGCAGAATAAAATTTGTATGTGCAAGTGGGAAATAGTGCCAGAATGTGGTTTATTGGTTGTAGGATGATGGAATCTAGAGCTTTATTGTTGACTCTTGCACCCTAAGCAGGGGGTGTTCCTCAAAGCAGGATTTCTCAGTTAGCTGGGTTAAAGTAGAAGTCATGATTGTCCAATAGGAATGCTCCTTTCCTAAACTTTTAATAGACAATCATGAGTTCTAGTTTAATTCAACCCAGCTGAGAAATCCTGCTCCGTGGAACAGCCCCCAGATCACTGATTACTAAGAGCATCATCCATAGTCTGGCTCAGGGATATATATACCAGCTTTGCTCTTGAATCAAAGGACCATCAGCACTGTCCTGGAAGAGATAAGACCCATCATCTATTTATCTACCAATATTCATCCATTTTAGGGCAAAAGTGCTACCAACTGAGCCTTAGCGCCAACTTGGAAGAAACATCAATGTTACCCAAACCCGACTAACTGCTGGTGGCCCTTTAGAGGAGAATGCATCCTGCAGTACTGTGTGTTGAGTTTTTTATGTTATGCATCAATGCACTGTACATCTTTTGGCTGGATGAAACCTAAAGTCAGCAAGCCTTTCAAAGCTAGTCATGGACTTTACTGTAGTTTTTGCTGTCTGTTTTGTTTTCTTTGCTTACAGAAGTAGACATGTTAATTTGTTCATGTTACACATCACTGTGATAACAGTGAATAAGCTCTAATTTCCAATGTATAGGTACCAGTTAATCCAAAAACACATGTTCTATACAGGATAATTTAAATTTTAGATTTTTAAAGCCACTCACACATTACCACACTGGGTAAATTGTTTGTAGAATGTTAAGTTTTTCTGTAATATTAATATGTCTTTTTTTTTATTAATTTCTTATGTGTAAAGAAGCATTAAAATTTCTGTGAAGATGAGGACACGTAGTGGCTTTGCAATAAATAATATTTGAAAGCAAACATTACCACACTCTGAAATCGCACCAACATAAGTGAAATTGGGAGTTTATTAGGAGTCTACTGAACTTGCAAAAATAAATAAATGGAAAAATTAGAAAGCAAATCACTCCGAAAGAAGACAGATGCTGTCCAATCAGAACTCGAGACACATCTGGCCCTTTCTGTACAGCATCACACTGTGTAGCTCAGCAGTGAGCACCTCACACAGTCATGTGAATGTGAGTTTGGCATTAGAGTGTGAGATGATGACTATGTCATTCATATATCCCATCCTCTCAATGCCCTGGAAGACAGTGAATACTACCCTCACAGTTAACCCACCAACCCACCCCCCCCAAAAAAAAAGTTGTCTTTACTCTTCTTGACATCCATTGGCAAACTAAAAAAAGGTTCCAAAAATTCTATACAGCACTCCTACATTAAATGATTCTATGAGCACACCTGTAACTGCACCATTAATGAAAAAATAGTTTAAGCTGTCTTCTGTCACAGATAGGAGGGTAGTAACAAATTGCAGACCTCAAAGTATCCCCACAGAAAAGTCTGCATACCATAAATTCCTTCAACTATATCAGGTATCCCAGCTAAGAGTTACACATCTAGTGTGTGGATCCATTCCAATGTACTGTAGGAGGTCATACAGTTATATTCCTGGTCATCCAGCTGCCAGCGACAATCCATTAGGGCATCATACAGCTCCTCACTCTCTTCCATGAACCGTCGGTTGGCCTCTGCCACATCCAGCTCAGCGCAGGGGTCTGCAATATGGGAGAACACAGGTCATGTGACAGCTCGGAACCTTGCTGCTAAAATACATTAGGAAGTCGAAAGAAACAGCTGAAGAGTGTAACGTCTGAGTACATTAACTGGTAACCAGAAGAGTGAAATACATAGAAAAAACTGGGTAGTTATTCAACTACAGAGCTGCCTAAATGTGAAATAGGATAAAACATGCCCAGAACAAGGTACTGGGTCAATCCATGTCAAATCAACACACTTTCGGACCTCATCGTCACGGATTTTAATGGAACTTGGCACATGAGTAACTCATGAAACTGAAATTTGGCGTGTCTTGGATCAATATTGAGGGAGATTTAACCATTAGCCATATTTACTAGCCATGTGGACCTTTTCAATAGTATGGCAAGTACATGTGTCTGCAATGACATTAATGAAGCTTCCATTAAATTTCATTGTAGCATATTTGTAACCTTAATTAATAGTATTACTTACACCTGTGCTTGTGATATGAAACCATGTGATGCTACCTTTAGGTCACGATATCACAGCAACACCTTAAAAACCAAAGAACAAGATTTAGTGAAAAATTAATCAATTTTGAAATGTAGGTTTTTTTGTTATTGATTTTTTTATATTTTAATCAGTTATTACATAGTAATTATTGAAATGGGGATGGCATATTATTTGCTCAATCTATAGAGCTGGACAACAGCTTCAATAGCTTTAAAACAGTATAAGGACCACTTCTGTGCAGCTTACATTAAGGAAAATATAGCCAAAGTCATAGCCCCCCCCAAATCTCCCTCAATATTGATCCAAGACTCGCCCAATTTCAGTTTCATGAGTTACTCACGTGACCAAATCAGCATGCCAAGTTTCGTTAAAATCCGTGACAATGAGGTCCGAATGTGTGATGATTTGACATGGAATGACCCTGCTTGTACCCTAGATACTGTATGATAAATAAAAACACATGACCTCACCCTCCAGATCTTCATCTACCATCTCTTCAAATGTCTGGGAAGAAAGTTTTCAAAAACATCAGTGATAACTTCACCTAATCTTGAGGAGCTGTCAGCTTTCTATATAAGCAATGTTATCTCAATCACCTGTGAGGAGTTCTGTGTGTAGTCAGTCTGCCCATAGCTGTAGCTATAGTTATCTACAGCGTGGCTGTAGGCCCAGTCTGAATAGTAATTAGAGTAAGGCTGCTGGTACTGCTGGAGAGTATTGCTGTAGTTGTAGTCATCATTGCAGGTATAAGTGTAAGTCTGGCAGGGTTTGTCTGATGAACTAGTTTTGCTTCTAGGAGACAGAAAAAATGACACCAGCATGAACAACTGTGACAACTAAATGGTTTTACTAAGCAAGGTGCCTAATTTAGGTTAAGTAACATACTCAATGGTATAAAATAGACATTTTTAGACCTACACCAGGTTACTCCTAGTTTTGCAATGATGAACGAGTACTCACATCTTATTTGTAGCCACACTTAGCCTCAACGGCCTGGTCCCCAGCCCCCTGGTCCCCTGGCACTCTAGAAGTGCTCTCTTCTGGTCACATTGATTGGGGAACTGCACAAACCCACAGCCCCTGGAGGTTAGAGTGTAGCACCTTGAAATGAGTACGCTTCCCACCCCATAAATAACAGCCGACCGCACTACCTACAAACAAGCAACCTACCTGGAGTTACCCAAGGTATCCAACAGCACCTTAGCTCCTTGGCAGGAGGGGTAACGGCTGAGGAAGAAGTCGTACAACATTCCGTCGTCTACCTCAGTAGACAGGTCACCAATAAAAAGAGAGAACGACTGGCTATGGGAACAAAGAGACACAGCAACTTCGTAAAAGACAGAAAAACAAGACGCAGGAAGAGAATAACAGCAGTAAAGGTGAGGAGTAAAAGAGAAAGTGACAATACTCCTGTAACCGTGACATCATTATGAACATGTTACCATAGAGCTCCACCTACCTGCTGTCTCCTTGTTTCCCATAGTTGGCTCGACTTAACTTGAACCGTTTGGGCTGAGAAAAGGAAAAGTGAAATTAAATACCCCACCCCCACTCTACAAGAGGCTACTTAAAATAATTTACTTCAGAGTATGCCACAGCAAAAACTACTCATTAGACTATAGAAAATGACACATTAATACATTTTTATATATTTCCACCACAGTAACTGCTCTCTCACACACACACATTTTACCGGTGTGGCTCCTGGAAGCGGTTTGCCATTGACTTTCCGGAGACATCTTTCTGCTGTAGCTTTGTCTCTCAGTTCTACAAAACAGTAGCCTAGGGGGTCCCTAAGGGGATCGCATGAATTGGCAACAGGACAGTTTACTTACTTACTATCTGGTTTGAGCCAATATAAATTTAAAGTACCCCTAACTCTCTCCCTAGGGATACATATAGATAACCTATAACCTTTCTCACCCAGAAATCTTGTTGCGAATGACTCTCACTCCAACTACCTGCTCTCCGATAGTGGCGAAAGCACGGGAAATGAACCTTTCATCCATGTAAGGCTCCAACTGTAAAGAGTAAAAGACAAGTTAAACAATAAAGCAGGAGACGATGAGGCATTTCAGCCAACGACGCCGATGCAGTACGGAGCCTAAACCATTTAATACATGCGTCTTGGAGATGCCAAGGTTTTCGAGTAGCCAAAATGGCATTTTCTACTAACCAATAATTACCGCTGAATCGTACAGTATAAGCGCGTTTAAGTCACTTCAACATTAATTTCAATCAATGTTTCAATGCCCTCATCAAAAACGGCATGAAGACAGCAAATTTTACTGTTTATTGCAGGGGAGTCGGGGGAGTCAATTGCTGTTACGTAACTTTGGTCGATATCACATTACGCGCAAAATATTTCTCAAAGCAAAAGTAGGATTGACTCACATTGCCCATCCAAAGGCTAGACATTTTATATCATTCAGTCTTCATGAAATCCTTCCGAAATCTTATTTCATGTCCCAAATCTCGCACAACATGAACTACTCGCCAAACCCACAAAAATTAGCGACCGTAATCTCAATCAGCGACCCCTAAAGAGTGGGAGCGCAACCAGCAAATCCGCAGAATAACCGCGTGGGTAAATGCATTCAGGTTATTTTATTAAGATGTTTGTATTTTCTAATATTCCGAAAATAAGTTTAATTTTAAAACTAAAGATGTGTTTGTTACGTTTTTATTACGGCGCTGCAACTTAATTCAGCCAATGGTTCAACAGGCAAAAGCCGCACGTTTGCTAGTTCAAGGGCAGGACGTGCAGGGGGGGTACGGGGGCTGGGGGTACCTCGGCAACTACCTATTTTGCCTGCACGACTGAAAGTGCCCCCCATTTAGATGTGCCAAGTGTGACCGACGATCATGCAAAATCTCCCGAGTGGGTCCCCAGCCGTCCCCATCGCGGAAATTTACTGAGGGGTATACCCCCTCCCCTCGGTCGCTCCCTGTCGCCCCCTGTCTGAGCACCAGGGAACATGCTCGCATCCAGATGTCCTACCTGATTGGCCAGGGAACGTGCTCTCATTGACATGTGCTACCTGATTGGCCAGGGAACGTGCTTTCATCGACATGTGCTACCTGTTTCCACGCCTAACACTTCCAAGCAGATAAGTCCTGATACCTCTATGCAACCTTTCATCAACCGTTTTATCAACCCAAAGAAGTCCTTATCTGAATTATTTAAGTCATTGTTTCCATTGGGAGCTTAGTTGACATTGAATCTGGTGCATTTCTGCTCTGACTTATATTTACTTATTTAGATATTTATTAAAACTCATGCTGACATATTTGCATATACTGATATGGTATCATCCCACCCCTGCATGTTTTACAGGCTGCTGAGAGTTATTATAGCACTATTTTTTTTTTGTTTGCACTATTATGTCTTCTATGTTTTGTCTGTAGAGATGGTACTCAACTAAGAATTTCATTGTGCTTTGTACAGTGTACTCTGTACATATGATAATAAAACTCTCTCTCTCTCTCTCTCTCTCTGGGTTCTGGTAGCTAGCGATTAGCATGATTTCTTAGGCATTCTAAGGCATCCACTGACCAATCAGGTAGCTTCTCTCATATTTGTGTGGGTTTCCTCCAGCTGCTCCAGTTTGTCAACTGTCCTTATTTTATGATGCATGAAAACTGCTATGGTTAAGCCTACGTATTACACAGATAGTAAATTAAATTATTAAAACCTGATGTAAACCTGAATCTTAAACAATTATCCATTATCTACAGCATGATGCACATTAAAGTCAGGGTGACCACCTAATCCATGTTAGCGGGGATACTATGAGCTAGTAGGTTTTACAAACTACTTTAAAACTAAAAGGCTCTTGTGCTTGGCTGAATAGTTCAATTCTTCTTGTGCTTTTACTGCTTTGTTTCCTTGATTGAAAGGCTCATCTAGCTGTTTTACACTAACATTAGTGACACATGTATGATTATAGGAGACTGACCAGTCAGCACACGGCAAGAACTCACTGCTAAAGTGAAATCCGGGTCTTTTTAATTGAAATGGTTAGTTCACGAACCCTGTCCTAACTCATCGTGTCCCCCTGACATGCAGTAGGCGGTCACCCTAGTTAAAGTTCGTCAAATTTTCAAATATGATTTAAGCATTTAGGTGAACTGCGTTTTTTTTTTTTTTTTTTTAAGAACACAAGAGGCAGATGTTGCATGAAATGATGACTGTTTATAATTAATATACACAATGATTCATTACTTTGATGTGGCTGTCAGAGCATCCCCTCCCTGCACCCAGGGCCTCACTGATTGTTTTACAATACAGTAACTGCATTTTAATATTTGTACTTCAGCACCATCTATGGGGTAAAAGTATATTAATCCTCAGAAATCTTTACGTTTATTTACCAGATGCAGTTGTCTTCAGAATAATATTCTAAAAAAGTGAATAAAGCTGAAAATCCTTATAATAGTTTTTATTTCCATACATGCAAATGCATTGGGAGCACTACGAATTCTACTCCAAATCAAAACAAGAAGAGAAATTCATCACATTTGTGTTACTCCTTTACAGAAAGTGAAGGAAAGGGAATATTAGGCTGTTCAAAAATAAATAGCAGTGTCCACATTCTTCTTCACAAACTCAAAGATTCACTGTATGAACTGAAAAATGTTTTAAGATTTTGCTTTCCTTTGAATCATTGAACTAATATTTAATTGTATAACCACTGTTTCTGATAAATGCTGCACATCTGTGTTGTATGGAGTCGACCAACTTCTGGCACCTGTGAACAGGTATTCCAACCCAGCCTGATTGGACTACATTTCTTGGTTTTGCCTCAGAAACAGCATTTTTGATGTCACCCCACAAGTTTTCTATTGGATTAAGGTCCGGGGATTTGGCTGGCCACTCCATAACATCAATCTTGTTGGTCTGGAACCAAGATGTTGCTCATGTGTTCGGGGTCGTTTTCTTGTTGAAACACCCATTTCAAGGGCATTTCCTCTTCAGCATAAGGCAACATGACCTCTTAAAGTATTTTGAGGTATTCAAACTGATCCATGATCCCTGGTTTGTGATAAATAGGCCCGCCACCGTAGTATGAGAAACATCCCCATAACATGATGCTTGCACCACCATGTTTCACTGTCTTCACAGTGTACTGTGGCTTGAATTCAGTGTTTGGGGGTCATTTGACAAACTGTCTGCAGTGTCCGTGTGGTCTGGCAGCGCAGACCTAAAAATGGTCAGATTTAATCCACAGAGTCTATCATACAAGAATCGTACTGTCTTCGTTTAGTAGGCCTACTTGGAAGGTTTTAAGGTTATTTATCTGACTGAAATTTAAAAGAAGTTTTGTCTTCAGATAGTCAAAAGCTTGAAGTAAAAGTTTTGCTTAATTATAATTTCTGAGAATCACATTAATTGTTAAACCTTTTGAATTAGTTTATTCTCCAGTGGCAAGCATGAGCAGCAAAGCTACTAATGTTTCCCAGTAACAGTACTGAACCTACCCACCCTTATCAATAATTTATTTGATTCAGATGACAATTTAGTATTAAATCATAAAGACATTTCTGGTTTGGACCTAATCAAATTCAGTACCTGAGAGATTTGTTACTCAAATCAGAGCCATTCCCAAAAGAAACGGCTGAACATAAATGCAGCTCCTGCACTTGCAGCCATGTGTACAGCATGGATCCCATCCTTAATAATTACCTTTAGTTCCACCAAGTCTGATCAGTTTCCATTCCTGAATATGAAGCACTTTTATACCTCAGTGTTAATGACGTTGCAAATGTGTGAAAAGAACCTCGCACCCCTTTTCCCCTCCAGTTATGAATCAGCTGATTTCCTACATTTTATTTACATTTTTATTTAGCAAACACTTTTATGCAAAGCAGCACAGCTGTGAAATCACTCTGGCAAATCTGGGATTTAAACCAATGACCTTCTGCTGACAGGCACATGTGCTAATCTGTTGAGCGACATGCATCCATGGATCGGGACAGTAGTCTCACAATGCAGGAGTGCCAGCCATGTTTATTCCGGCCAGCCAGAGGAAAACCTAAAAGCCATCACCTGTTATGTTTCTGGCCCCATGGAGCAATGGCAGACACTGCTGGGTAGGAAAAGATGGTGGAAAAAACATTCAGTAGAACCTGGTGTGTAAGACTGTCCAGGAGCTGTGGGGTAGCATCTTCCAAACATGGCCGGCCTGGGCTGCACCAGCTGGGCTAGCCGCTACACTGGTAGCTATTGACTCCCATGCCTTCTTTCATAGCTAATGTCTAAGCACTTTCTAAGCCAGGGCTGCCCAATTCCAGTCCTGGGGGGCCGGAGCACTGTGTAGCTCAGGCCTTTCTGCTTAGAGGCACAGAGACTTGGCCCCACTGATCCACTCACCACCTCCCAATGTGCTTGCCTACAGTATGTTGCCTTTAGTGGATGCCAACCTTTTGTAGACCACAGATTGGCATACGTTGTGCAAAAATTTTATAGACCAGTAAGATTTATCGACTGGGGGTGGGGGAATTCAATACGTTTACTTGCAAGCACCAGAGGTTGTAAAAAAGAGTGGCTTCAAAATGTATAGTCTCTTTTTGGAAATGTCATTCATTTTCATTAACCAATCCCTCCCCCAAACCTCCAACGCTCTGTGGCCTGGTGGAATACTGGCTGGGAACTGGTGCCGGCCAACTGGGGGTTGGGAGCCCTGTCCTAATGGGTTGACCAGTACTGGTTGTTGGCCACCAGCCTGTACACCTAATTCAAACTGAACAACAAACTCAGATCGAGAAAGTCAGCCAAACAACATCAAGGAACTATTTAAAATAAAATTATACCTCCTTAATGTGAACCAAGTAATCTTTAGACTGAACAATTACATATAAAGGGTCTGTTTGTATCTGCAGGGCTGTTCAGCTTTATGGTAAAAAATACAGCCGGGAGAAATATTTAGAGAAGCAAGGAAGAAGCTCTTCATCAATAAGAAGCAGGGAAGAGCCAGGCTGCAGTTTGCAAAAAATGTATAGTTTACACAGATGCATACTCATAAATTGAGAAATGAGTGAAACAAAAAATTGTGCTGTGGGGGCCGCAAGGTCGGGAATAACCCATGAGAAGGTACCAACCCACCGCAGGGCACACTCACGCAGACTGCAGGGGGAAACAGGCATACCCAGAGAAAACCCCACAGCAACACGGGGAGAACGTGCAAACTCCACACACATACAGCCATGGCAGACACTCAAACCCAGGTCCCAGAGACATCAGGTAACAGCACAAGCCGCTGTGCCACCCTGTCACCCACAGACTAATACACAGACCTGTCTGCTGTTGCTGTACCAGTTTTTTGTTTCCACTTACTGACAGGGCTGGAATTGCCATCTGGCATGTAGGCAATTTTCCTGATGGGTTTTTTGGGCTGTAGGCAAAGGTTATTATGAGGGACCCTAAAGACTGGACAAAGATATTGGACTCAAATTACAATAGACACAATACTGGAGTGGAGGGAAGTCCGTGTAGAGGTGGATTTCAACAGAGTAGCAGCTGTAGGATAATCTATGGAACTGTATGATTGGATCTAAATAGGTGGACCGCACACAGTTCCACGCATGGACTCTACATTTGTCTGTGTCTGCAAACAATCGTGGTGGGGGCATGCACACAGTGATGATACTCCAAAAGACCAGCAGAGGGCAGATGTTGTCTTCTTGAACTTGCACACAAGCTTTGCCCAGTGTTTGGAGATTACTTTCCATGAATTCATGCACCAGAATACGTCTTTGTGCTCTTTCAATGGTGAGTTATATGTGTACGAGTACATCTGCACCTCCTCACACAACTGCACATCGGAAGCGTCAATAACTCCAACTACTCCGTTTCTGCTCTTTCTTAGCTTACTCCTGCTTCATGAAAGTCAGGGCTGCCGCCTATTGGAAACACCCAGTCAATTTCCTTGCATATGTGCAGTCAATGTGCCCTGAGGGCACCAACATCTGGGCTGCATGCACACACCCCCCTGTTGATATGCGTTACTCACCCAATGCAAGGACCGTAATGCACACAGAAAAGTGAAGTATGAATTGGGCTGTAATGAATAGTGTATGGGGGGGGGGGGGGGGAGCCTGGTGGTGTAAGAGCTGAGATGGTATATGCTGCACTTGTTAGTGCAAAAGAGAATCTCGCTTTAGAGCATTACAAATTATTTTGTTTGAAGCAAAGATGTAAAGAGTCTGGAAACAGGAACAACAATAAAAGATCCACTGTAACACATTTATTAATATAAAATGTTTCCGATTCAGTGATCTGTCAACGTCCAGCGAATAAGCAGCTGAATGAATATTCGAATTTTATTTCAATATTTTGTTTCATAATATGTGATATTGGATTGCCTTTCATTAGTACCATCTCCCAACCTTGGATGATGCTTTCTATCAATTTGCATAATAAAAAAATGTCTATTGACCACTTGAATACACCTGGTTAGTTAATATTCTTATATACTGAAATGTCCTGGCAGAAAATACAATAAAACTGTGAGTCTTTGGAACCGTACAATTAGCAAAAAGTGCAAAAAAGGTTAAACGCTGACAGTAAATTGTGAAATTGTGAATATAACCCTGGTCTGCACAATGAGACAAACAGAGCAGAGCTCCTTATACATTTAGAGAAACATTCTAAAGATTATACCCATTAATTTCATGTACTGTCTATACAATACCTAAGCTAACAGTTTGAGCTGTTACATTACTCAGGAAAACTACATACATATAAGTTTTTAGATCATGTAGTAAAAAAGACGTTCTTGCAATCCTTATTTTAGACACTTGGTGTTACAGGGGTCTCCTGATGTGAAAAGCTTATAGATGTTGATGAGGGGGAACATTGAAAAGGCCCCAAGCAAGGACCCTAGCTGCACCACCGCTCCACACCACACGAGGGTGCTGTGACCCTCATCCCGAAGGATCAACCCAATGATCACCTTCACATAGGTGAGTGTGAGGACACAGAACACCCAAGCTGTCACCTGAGGCAAGAGGTATGGAGTAAGTTCATCTTATACAGCAGTGACATTTACATTTACCATGTTTTTTACATGTTACGCACTAAATTATTCTTTATGGCATTTTAATTGTTTCTTTTGTCAGTAAATGAAAAGAAAGGCAGACTTACAATAAGAACAGCTCCGGAACTTTCATGGACCAGCAGCGGACAAGGGCTCAGCACCGCCATACCCATGATGTACGCCCCAATCCCAGTGCCAATGACAGTGAGAGTGCCCATCAGCAGCAAAGACCTGAAGGAAGAGGAGACGGTGTCACTGTATGGTTTTGGAGCTGCTTGAGGAATCCTCTCCTCTTTTGTGAAACACTGCATAATAAATCATTGACATCTAATGAGGATTACACATTAGACCGTTTGCAGTGTAAATGATGTTTCATGTCCAGTATAGTGAAACTGTTATTAAGCCATGGTTTGCTTGCTTCCTTGATCACTGGACAAATGCTGGAGCATTGTACCAACCACAGTTAGTTTTGGTGTACATTTTGTATCTCGTGTTTTAATCTACTCAAAGTTTACTTACCACTTTCTCACCACTCATACGCCTATGAAATTTCTTTAAAATTATTATTAATATCGTTGCTGTATGATTGCAGGAGACATGTTGAGGTTGTGGGTTTAATCTCTCTGTCCAGCTTTCTATGTGTGGATTTTGAATCTGTGTATTTTAGCTACTTTGGTTTCCTCCAGCAGTACAAAAGTATGTGGTTTGGCTGGTATTTCTGGATAATCATGTGGGGTGTCACCCTGCAGAAGACTGGCATCTTATCCACAGTTTCCCCTGCCTTGTACCCAATACATCGTGGAGTCGACTCCCGACTCGCACTCCTACACAGTTATGGAAAATGGATGGATGGTTACAAATGCATAGAGACTGTATACAAAGGTTCAGACTAACCTTATGGGGAAAAACATGGCAATTAAACAGGCCAGGGGGTTAGCCAGTGCTGCCATGGTGACGGAGAGGTGGTAGGCATTATTCCCATAGGGCAGGCATGCATATGACTGGACTGAGGGTAGCACAGTATTAGTCACAGCATTAACCCAGGCCAGCATGGAGAAAATGAAGAGCACTTCAATCCACATGTAGGTCCCAGTTCCAAAGGAGCTGCAAGCGTTTCTCTTGAGGTTACGTAAAGGCCGGATCATGGGTCTTTCCTCCGACTGCTCTTGATGCCTAAGTGCCAGGCCGCCCTTGTCCACTCCCAGATCCCTGTCATGGTACCAGCCAGAGTTGCGTTGGCGCCCCACAGCAAGATGTATGTTCAGGAATAGAAAGGCCAGAAGGCTTATCGCCATCATGGTGCTCAGGAAGAGGAAGAAAGTTTGAGTGGAGAAGTTGGCTGGCTGGTAGTAGGCCTTGAGCTCATAGCCCAGTGTGGCATTTCCCAGTGTCCCATTGGTCGTTAGAGTCTGATTGTGACACTGGACCACACCTACTCCTTGGATCAGTGCCACCACAGCTGGGATGAATCCGCTGAGGCCCTCTCCGATAAAGTAGCTGGTGAGATACTGTGGTTTCAGTCGCATCATGTACGGCAGGAAGGTGACTGAGGATGTACAGTCAACCAAGGCAAGGAAGAAGGTGAGAACCAAGAGGGTCACACTGTGACGGACCCCCCCGATCACAAGGGTCTCCTTCCAGAAGAAAGCCAGGAGGAAGCTGGCCATGGTCCCTAGGCTGATGATGAACAAAATGGCTGCCACCTCATTCAGCCAGCCTGGGCGGAAGCGGTGCATGAGGGTGACAAACAGGGGGCCGATATTAGCCATTTGGATGATGACAGAGAGGTAAGAGGGCAAATACCAGCCCTCTGGGATTTCAGGGACAATGAGAGGGAGCTCCACCCACATTCCACTGATGGACACCCAGGAGCCTGTGCCGAACAGGCAGGTCAGTATGTGGGTGAAAGGAGCCATTGGATATTTTAGTGTAAAGGATTTGTCTGGGAAAGAAAATATAGACACACACACACACACATATATCATTATTGATCACAAAAAGGCCTGCAATGTGATCAACTTAGATTTCCAGAAGGCCTTTGATGTTGTCCCCCACAAACGGCTCTTGCTTAAGCTCAAAGCTGCAGGGATTTTAGGAACCGTAGCAAATGGCTATTTCAATATTAGTTTAAATACTAGAACTTGTGTCCATAAGTGGAAATTAGCGGGAGAACATTTTAAAATGAATTTGAGGAAGCACTTCTTTACACAGCGTGTAGTTAGAGTATGGAATAGTCTTCCTGCTAGTGTAGCACAAGCTAAAACCCTGGGTTCCTTTAAATGGGAGCTAGATAAGATTTTAACAACTCTGAGATATTAATTAAGTTATTCCCAGACAAGCTTGATGAGCAGATTGGCCTCCTCTCTTTTGTAAACTCTTTATGTTATTATTATCATCATCAAGAAGTCATTATTCAATCTTCATTCTCTATCTAATGTTCTAATGCATATTACTTATATGTTTTCTCTGACAAACCATGGAACAGGAAAACAGACTTAAATTACTTGGTAGGTTTTCTGCTTCTATTCATGAGAATTTCAAAACCTAGCATTCCATCTAGATTTGAATTAATCTTGACCTGAACATTCAAACTATGGAGAAATCCTTGATGCAAACAGCACCAACAGTAATTGTTTTATATAAAATCCACTTAAATCCATGTCAGCATTAGTTTAATCTCTAACGAGTGCTTTGAGTTGAGCCTATTAAGTCTATAATGTGACCAATTTGTCCAATTCACTTGCCAGACAGTTTTACACTAAAGACATGATTGGACGATTGAGTGGAAGCCTACTGCAATATTAAAAAAGCATAATGTTGATGGAAATATCACTATGTCAAAAATAACACGAAAGTTTGTAAGTTCTTTGTAAGATCATGGTACAATTTGCAGGGGGACATCATATAAACTTTTTTGGTAAAAAAGAAATGTATAAGCACAGTGTGTAAGGAAAACTGTCACCTTGGAATGTGTAAAAAAATAGCAATTCATGTATCAAATACAGGTTAATTGAAAAGACCGATCAATGGCAGCTGACACCTAGAAAAAACATATATACACACATGTGCTTTCATCTGAAAGAAAAAAACATGCATTCAAAATTGCTCAATCCTTTGTACATCCCTACAATAAAACTGTTTAATTAAATTTAATATAATTTAAAGAATAGTTTTCCATTAGTGATGTTGTTACAATTCTTGTATGCATATACTTTAATATACTAATAAAATTTATAAACATGTTACATATTAGTAGATACACTAAATTATTAAATGGAAAAATTACCTGTTAGTCCTGAACTCACCCCAGACTTAAAATTAATTTCTCTTTCTACTGAATGCAGAACAATTGCACTGAGATGAATACCATGATACAGTCCTTCATCCGGAGTTACAGCAGAGAGTGTTTAGCCTTCACATGTTAAGGACTTCCTGGGATCAACGATCCTACCTCAAAGTCCAGTGTGATGCTGAGTCTGTGCTATGGGGATTATATTTTAATTATTTGGTGGGTGTGCTCAGTTTAGCCAATCAGGAGGCCATGTCCTGGTTATTCTGTGACCTCAATTTGTTGGGAACTTCAGCAGTGTTTGTGACATTTCACTCTTACTGAAATTAGTTTTTGACATTTTGATGAAGTGTTCATTACAAATTTCTGCAACTTCATGGCTTGAAGTCTTCTTTCTCATAAAAAAAAGAGAAATGTCCATCCGTCCCTCCCTCCATCCATCCAATGTAATCAACAAAAATGTAGAACAAGGTAATAAAAACCACTAACTTGCAACTAATAAAAACACATTTCGGACTGGTGCATTTCCAAAAGCCGATTTCACACAAAAATGTATTTAAAAGAATAGGGCTTTAAAATTATGCTACTTAACTGTTAACTTTTTAATGTGCTGTTTACCTTGTGAATCTCCAACCCCACGTGCTGAGCTGTATGAACAATCATTAAGCTCTTCTCCACTTTAACCTTTAACTGATTCACTCTCTTCAGACAATGAATGCTCTTTATACAATCAGTGACAGGAAAATGCATTAATTGGTTAATTGTATTAATGAGGTCAACAGTTAGTAATATCAATAGATTTTATTATGTAGGTCTGAAGTTCTTAAGAAAATCTGCAAACTTGATATTGAATTGTGACAAAATTTTATTTGAACATTTTGAATATTAAACTTTATCCTGGCTTTAATTTAACTTAATGTCAATTAAATTTTGTTGTCAGTTATTTAGAGTAACCTTCAATACGGTTCTACATTAAACTTCTTTATTTCTACCCAAATGCAAATGATAAATGATGACTTTATAATGAATTGCTTGAAAAGAGAATGAAGATTGAATAATGACTTCTCGATAATAACATAAGAAGTTTACAAAAGAGAGGAGGCCAATCTGCCCATCAAGCTTGTTTGGGAAGAACTTAACTAATAGCTCAGAGTTGTTAAAATCTTATCTAGCTCTGATTTAAAGGAACCCAGGGTTTTAGCTTGCACTACACTAGCAGGAAGACTATTCCATACTCTAACTACATGCTGTATAAAGAAGTGCTCCCTCAAATTCATTTTAAAATGTTCTCCTGCTAATTTCCACCTATGGGCACAAATTCTAGTATTTAAACTAATATTAAAGTAGCCATTTGGCTGAACAGCATTTAGACCTGTTAGAATCTTATATACCTGGATCATGTCCCCCCTTAGTCTCCTTTGCTTGAGGCTGAACAGATTCAGCTCAGCTAATGCAAGAGCCGTTTGTGGGGGACAACATCAAAGGCTTTCTGGAAATCTAAGTAGATCACATCGTAGGCCTTTTTGTGATCAATTTCTCTTGTAGTTTCCTCAAAGAACTTAAGTAGATTAGTTAAACAGGATCTACCTCTTCTAAATCCATGTTGACTATCTCTCAGAATGTTATTTGAATTCAGGTAATCTACCATTTTCACTTGGATTATATACTATTCATTGTCAAACCCAGCAGCCAAATAGTCATAATAGGTCCTTTTATTGAATAGAAATTCTTCAAAATGAAAACCGGTGATCCAGTGCGATCTCTCATTTCCTCTGGACTGACAATGACATTTTTTAATAGCTCTAAAAAAAAAAAAACCAACAACAACAAGCATAGTCTTAATTCCAGTTTGAACATGTCTCAAGAGAAAAACAATATTTTCCACAAATCCATCAGCAGTCAACCTGTTTGGGCAGGATCAGAGTGGAGCATAAAGCACCCAGTTTCCAAATATAACACATACGAGGCTAATTAAGGAATGTATTTGCATCAAGAGACAGAAAACACCAGACATACACATACAGCATATTCTTAAAAAAAAAATCCTCAATGTTTAGTAAACAAAATGCATTTTCCATTTCAGCCATTCTTCCTTACAAAGATGCTTTATTTTAAGGGGAGTTTATATGTTTGTTTGTTTTTTTAACTCAATAATTATTACATGCATTTGTAATTTAAATAAATTTCCATCTTTTTATTTTAGGAAAACTAAACTTACAAGCCATTGTCTGAAAAATATGTATAATTTCACAAGTTTGTGTAATTTACCAGCTCAACCTATCTTAAAGATGCAAGTTACCAGCAGGTCAAGTGTCAAGTAAATTACCAGCAGGATTAACACTAGATACAGGAGTAATGTGGAAAAAGAAATCATACATGGACATACCAACACTCATTAACAAGTCAATCATGATGTTAATAATGACAATAATAATAATAATTTTATTTATAATGCATTTAAAACAAACCTCAAAGTGCTACAGAGTTAAAAAAAAAATCATGTCCATAGAAATGACATTTTGNATAATAATAATAATTTTATTTATAATGCATTTAAAACAAACCTCAAAGTGCTACAGAGTTAAAAAAAAAATCATGTCCATAGAAATGACATTTTGAAACTAAATAAAATGAATGTAAGATGACTACCTAATTATGTAAACGTTATTTTAAAGACAGTTGAAATTAAAATAAAAATAGGCAAGAAAACTGCCATAAAAATGGAGGGGGTAGGGAGTCAATTGGCTAGCATATGGTAAGTATTGTAAGAGAATAGGCCACGGACAGAGCACAGGCAGCAAGCCTTCACACAAACCACAGTGAGACAATTCAAAGATTCTGCTGGCAGGGTAATGATGCTACTGAAACACATCTCTGCAGTGTAATCAATGACATGCATCCCAGTCAGCAAATTGGCCACTTTCACAATCAAAAGTAACAACGTTTAACAATGTTAATTACCAAAAAAACGACAATCATTTATGATTAAATATAGTAAATAGGGGTCCAAAGCACACAGCACTATAGTTTTTGTAAGGGCTTTTCTTATTCTTTTTCTTCCCTAAAATGAAATGGGCAACCTAAACTGTAAGACCTAGACCAACCAAATTTGGTAGGAAGATGTTGGTCCTACTCAGACCATAAACCCAAATCAGACAGTCAAGGGGGCTGTAGCTCCCCTTTTACCTTCGTGCAGATATCTCCTGACCTGTTAGTGGGGGGGTCACAATTCTTTTGTTCCCCAGATACAGGAGCCCATGCCCGACGAACTTGCCAAACACACTACCTAGTGTGCCTACCTCTTCCAACCAAATCAGACAAATGTGGTGTCAGAACAAACAAACCCCTGAGTGGGGCTGGGCGATATCATATCAACATTATATCGTACATGCACAATAATCACCGGGGCGAAACATTTGGCCAGACACCAGCTTTTCGGTATTATACGGTATTATTTATGCCCACGATTTGGTAAGAAGATTGGTAGTACGGCTAAAATATTAATGAGATGCATTTTGTGACACCCAAAAGACAGTAATCATAAATATTTATTAATATCTTAAACTTTTTGTACGGTACGAGCAACAGCCACACCCAAACTATACCGTGTCACACCCATCTATATCAGACAGATATATCTCATGCATGCTTCAGCCAATCTTTACCGAACTTAAAGACTGTGGGAACTGTGGAAGGACCCTCCAAATTTGCCACCAATTGGTCAATAGGGGGCACTATAGCAATTGAACATATATCTCTGCACCACAACTGACATTTTCCTCATTTCTTTTTGAATATCATATTGATGGTCAAAATCCTTTTCACATTCAGTTCCGTGACTCAAGCCATCCAAATACATTTACTGCTAAAAGACAACCACTTCCATTGCCCAGTGATTTATATACATTCAAAAACGGCATCTTTCTATTAATCCTACTCAGTGTTGGGTAAGCTACTTGTAAAGTGTAGTGAGCTAAGCTATCAGTTACTCAACAATAAATTAAGCTTCACTACACAAAAGCTACCACCCATAGAAATATAGCAAGCTAAGTTACATAAATATGGCAAAAGTAGTTTACTACATCAGAAGCTACTTCACGTTGTACCAACCTAATGCCAGATCAGTGCAAAATGAGTCAGATACACTGTTAAGACATTTATTAAAGAACAACCCATGATTTAACACAGTGTAGACATTGTGTTATGTGAAGCATCGAGACATAAATAAAAGCTTACTTTTGGGAATAAAACAAAAAAAAAAGTTATTGGCCTACTACTAGGTAAACCAGGGGGGTATTCCATGACAGAGGATTTCTTGCTTAGCCAGATAACTTCTTGGATTTAAGGTAGTCCAGGCTAAACTGACTTTATTTTCATTCCCTTACATTTAGCCCAGACTACCTTAAATCCATCAAGTTATCCGGCTAAGCAAGAAATCCTGCTTCATGGAACAGCCTTCAGTACTCTAGTAAACAAACTATTTATTACCAAATGAAAGCTACTGTGTAGTGTTCGATGGGCAAGACATGGCTATAGGTTTAAATCAATTTAAAAATTCTAGGGAAAAGAAAAACCATATTAACAGCCATCTTATTTCCTCAGGGCCTCCCTTAAAGAGAAAACGTCTTCAGACCCCAATTAAACAAGTCGACTGAAGTTACAAATGAACTTTGTGTTTAAGAACCGTGTTAAACTGTGTTTACGGACGACATGCAACACCATGATTAATAAGCATGGCTCAGAGAGTGATCACTGGGACAATAGCAAATGAAATGGTCCAAACTGAAATGAGAATCAAAGTCCTGAATTACATGTTTTAGTGGTGGGGGGATGGGATTGAAGGGGAGGGGCGGGCGAGGGGGAGAGGGGTAATGGTGCTTGGGTGGGCTCTTATTGTTCTAACAAGTGTTTGTTTACACGGCACAAGAGAAGCTTTTCAAAAGTGGCATCAGAAAGGCGGTTTTTCTTTGGTCTGAAAATATCCTTTCCTATTCTATACTCTAACTACACACTGTGTAAAGAAGTGCTTCCTCAAATTCATTTTAAAATGTTGATGCCATCTCAAGGTCAAATAAAGTCATTAAACATTAGGGATGGAATGCCTCTTAATGGAGAGGGAATCTGAAGTATATTATTTCGTGTAAAAAAAAAAAAAGATAAAACCTTTACAATCTGCTTCACCAAATTTGAAATCCTACCTCTCAGGACCATTCTGGGGACAGAGGAAACGACTGGCCATAAATCGTTAATAGGGGAGCTGCAACAAAAAACTTCATCTCATGATCTCCTTGGCAAACCCAAGGGAAATTCAGCACATTCTCTTGCTTATGGTTCTTGCCTACCCTTCCTACCATTGTACTAATTTGATGAGCATTTCTACTGTAATGTCAGGTCTCCATCCTATTACAGCAGAATTTACTGCTGTCTGTAACCAATGAGAGTCAGTACTCCAATTTCCATCAGTACTGATGTACTACCTCTATGCCATGGATGACATCCCTTTGGACCCTTCAGTCACTGCTTGTAGTTATTATAATTCTCATTATACGACTATTCTTCTCAAACATGTTGGACAATATTTTTTAAAGCAAAATAACAGAGGCTGACAAGCACACACTTCATGGTAGGTAATGTGAGGGTTAGTGCATTTATATTCTGCATAAAGGAATAAAGACACCCTGCAGAGAGCAACAAATTACCTTGGGAAATTTACATTCTGGAATCATTAAACAAAACTGAAGAAGTGTTTTGTTTTGTACTTGAACATTCAAGGTAATTTCTTCTTTTGAACAAATATTATAGATGTTATTTAAAAGGTGATGACAGACGACAGATTTTGGCTTTACTTTGTGTTTATCAGATGTGGTCCTGGTAATGTTAATCATGCCTTAAGGGCTGTATGATGTATTTCACCAACCTCAACTAAAACTGAATTAGACAGACCCCTTCCAGAGCTCATGTGCTTAAAGTAGCAGGAATCAGGCTATACTGACAACTATGTCTGCACTGACGAAAGTCAGTCTTTTCCCCCATCACTTTAAATCACATTTCCTTTCCCACTGATTCATAGTTATGGTTACCCCGCATGTTCCAACAGATAAGGATTTCATAACACTTGATGCATATTTTCATTTTTCCAAAGTATACTGTACATATCTTTTATTTTCCTAAGAAGTAAGTAGACTGGTAATGATCGTCGTTTTGGTAGGGAGCCAACTGTCTTCTTATCCTTTAAGTGCTGGTTACCCATATTTTTGTAGGACGGATATTTTCCATATTCCACAAGGCAATGAGCTAGAGATAACAAACATTAACTATTAAAACTTGGTATTAAGGCATCACTACCCCCTACTGATAACAAATAATAGCAGGTTAGAAAATTGAGGGTGTGATCTTAATATTTTCTCATATCTGTTTACTTTGGAAAACACTACAAAGGCGCAGAATGAGAAGCACCTAGCAGACGTGTACTATTGTACAGAAAAGTGCACATTCCGCATCACCAACTTAGGCACTGTTTCACAGGCTTGTAGCTACAGAACCCAATTAAAGGGCAACATTAAACAGTTCAAATGTCAGTTTTTACTTTGAATTTTAGGAAAGTGATTTTTTTTCCTTATGAAAATGTAGAAAGCAACACTAAATTCAGATTTCTGCCTACAACAAACACAAAGTAGCAAATTTCTGAACTGTTGCCCATTCTGATTCTAGAAACATTTACAGATTATACTGTGGGAAAAGAAGCTGATATCTGTATGATTTAGAAATTATTTGTAATTATTCCATGCAATATTATCAACTGATCACTTAACCAGCCCCGCTGAGCTATATGTGCTTTGGATAAAAGCTTCAGCTAAACAGTGCTAGAGGTAATTAATCATTATTCAGTATTAATTTAGCATGTCATTCTTCATACAGGATAAAGTTTTTTTTAAAGACTATAAAAAGTAACTTGACTTTGATAAAAGGTGCTTAATTTTGATAAAGGATTATATCTTAACAGCTTTATCTAAATAGTCGTCATCAGGAAATCATTATTTATGAATCTGAACAGAAATGTGATATGATAATCTCAGACATGCCTGAACACATTTTCTGCAAATAGTGAAGTTAGATCCAAATCACTTACATATTCCAGATGAGCATGCAAATTTAATAGCAGCTAATGAAACCCCGGACCAACTGAGTTACACAGACTGCATTTTTAAGTTTTAAGGTCGATAAAACAACCATATAACACCGAACAGATGGGTGGCTAGTTGTGAGCTAGCTGTTTGTATATCCATAAAGTAAATGAAAATTAACATGAAGCAGTGCATAATAACGCCATAATTCTACAGTTCCGTTTTTGTGCTGCGACAAAATATACTTAAAATATCCCTGAGAGAGGTGTACATTTACAAACTGAACCAGCTGAAAAAAAATGTTAAAAACATGACAAATGAAAATGCTTTCCTTTAAATAAAAACCTCTCAAGAAGAGCAGAAACTGTCCCCCTTGCAGCTGCAGCCCCAGACACTGCCCTCTGCCTGGCAAACTGACCATCAAGCACAACTGTCCACACAGTCCCTCCCCTTCTGGAAGACGTGGTAGACGCTGACCAGCGGAAACATAGAGAGCGCTCCGATGAGTGAGCCTGCCTGGATAAAGACCCCACACCACAGCAAGGCAGCGTGTCCCACCTCGTGAAGCAGGGAACCAATGGCCACCTTCAGGTATGAAAACGTCCCCGTGAAAATAATCCAGGAAGTCACCTAATTGGGTGAGAAAACATCACAGTGCACAAATTACACAGTGGTCACGGAGGGTTTACGTAACTGCAGCCAAGTGTATTCTAACTGGGTCAATTATATAGTACGGCCTGACCGATCATGACTTTTCAAATGCATTATCAGATCTATAAGGATACGGATCCATATAATTAGTATTTTAACATGATGTAGTCCTGCTTTAATAGGGCTATTATGTATACATCATGTACTCACCACAAGAACTATCCCAGAAGTGCTCCCCAAAAGTGGAGGACAGGGACTGAGGGCAGCTAGAACCAAGAGATATATCGGAAAGAGCCCCCCTACAGCAGCCAGGACACCTAGACCTATGCTAGACCTACAGGACAGCATGAAGGAACAAGTTACATTATGTAGAAAAAAAAAAACTATTTAAAAACACAGTCTAATATTTCCAAAAGCAATCAACAAAGAGAAATAAATATGGTCAAATATAGCTGTAATGACACAAACACCTGACGTATTTATAGCAAACGAGATGTATCTCTGTTATGTACCTACCTGCAGAGAACAAACATGGCCACAAAGCAGGCAAGGGGGTTGGCAATGTTTCCAAGGACGACAGAGAGGTGATAGGTCATTGTTCCATATGGGAGACACGAAAAGCTTTGCACTGAGGGAAGAACTCCATTGGAAAGAGCGTTGGATACGCCCAGCAACACGAGTAGATAGATGTTATTTGGAGTCCAGAAAGTTCCTTCAGGGACAGGATTTACCACAGCCACCTGGTTGTCAGTCACTGCCATCCCTCCGTTTTGCAATGGAGAACGCTCCTCTGTGTCTCCTTTAACTGGAACATCGGGAAGTTGGAAGTCCGGCGCAGCTGGATCAGCTGTGCCCCTCACCGTCAAGGCCAGGAACGAAAGGCCAGAGATTCCCAGCATGACAAACATAAACCAGAAGAAATTCTGAGCAGGGAAGTTTTCCTTAAGGTAGTGTGGCTTCAGGGTGCCATTTGCTGCAGTGCTGTTCAGACATTCCAACTTCCCGACACCTTGTCCCAGAGCCACAACACAGGGGAAAAGGGCACTGAGACCCTGCCCAACAAAGAAGGTGCGGATAAACTCGGGTGGATACCTATACATGTAGGGCAGGAAGGTAACATTGGAGGTGCAGCAGACCAGGGCCAACACAAACGCCAACAGGAGGTAGGGCACTGAGTGCATCTCCCCCAACACACTAACCTCCCGGAACCAAAACATAGCAAGGAAGGCGGAAGCCAGTACAGCCAACGCCTGAATGACATGGATGACCAATCGCTCATTGATTCTTCCTGGAGCAAAATGGTGCATCAGCGACATGCTCACTGGACCGATATTTCCAAAAGCAACCAACAGGGACAGGTAAGCAGGCAGGTTCCAACCTATAAACAGGTAAATAAACATTCATTTACTTATATTTCTGCATGATAAACTACTGGACATTCTTGTTTACAAAGACGAATAATTCTAGACTATTTTTACAATTAGTTTTAATACTGAGGCAGTTTGTTCTGACAATTAAGCCAAGCTCCATTGGGTTCATGGTTCATATTCCCAGTCTCATGTTTCTATCATTAACAAATAAAGTACAATTATATTTCTACATTTTTAAAACAGGTTCAAATATTTTTGACAATGGTAATACTTACGTTCAGGGAGGACACTGACCACCACAGGAAGCTCGACCCACAACGAGTTCACTGAGACCCAGGAACCCATTCCAAAAAGAGCCACCAGAACATGAGTGATAGGTGTTTTGTTCCACCAGGAATCCATCACAATACCTCTATATGGAGAAAAGAGCAGGTCTACCATGAACACAGAACTGCTCCAGCTGATTTTTGGATGGAAATGTACCGCTAATATTTGTCAAGTGAGCACCAGATATCAGAACATGCAAGGAAATCGGAAGTGAAATATTATTTTGTCTATGGTCATCAAACAGTGCACCCATAGGTCCCTGTTCCTTCAGATGACCTCTCAAGGAATATTTCAACAATGTTTGTAGTTGTTTTCATACTGTTCTACTTAAACTCTCTGTACTCAAAACTACAAGTATGCTGTTGTTGCTTCTTTAAGAAAAAAAAGCTGAAAAGATCAATTGTGCCCAATACTAGTCCCATGACATGGTCATATCATTAAACTATTCATTTGTCATGTGACTGTTATACATACAGTAGCTACACACATAACTACTCATAGGAAAAAAAATTATATTATCTGATATTATCTGATAAGTAAGCTATAGGGCATATTCTGAGTTTAAATCTGGTCCTCGCTTGTATCATAATTCAATCAGAAGATAATCATGTTTTCTATCTCACCAACGTTCCAAGTTGACATATGCGAGTTACTATGACTACCATGGAACAGCCCTGAGATATCAGGTGTACCCACCACATCGGAAAGGATGAAGAAACTCTATGGTCTCTAGATATCCTTTGTCTTCCAGAACACTGTTCTGTATTTATCTTGCTTTATCCTGATTTTTGCCTATGCTTAATATGTGAAGCTGCGGAGTGACTTGACCCCTTCTTATCCTGCAAACGCCAGGACACAAGGTATATTTGCAAACCCAGCGGTCCTCCCAAACCATAACAGGATAAGTCTGCTACAGCCTATTCACACACACACACAAAACCCAAGACATTTTAAAACCACTGAATTTTATTTGTGGAAAAACAAAACAACTGTAAAACAGCAAGGGACATGAGCAAAGAAAGTCTAAAATCAAGGACTTGATTTCACAAATCCATGGCAGATAAGACTGGAATTAAAAGAAATGCATATACAAATAAGCAAAACAAACACGTGAATACATTTACAAATTACAATCCAAATTAAACATTTGATTTTTGTCAAAAACAAATGTCTAGCTGATACAACTGAAAATAAATGTGTCACATCCAGAAATGGTGTTTGACAGGGGATGGGGCAGAGGAGGGGCAACGTCACTTTAATTGCACAGAACCGATTTAGTTATTTCACATTTAATAGTATTATAGGAAGAAATGCACAAATGACACAAGCAGGTGTCATTTATTGCAGCTTCAATGTGTAGTTAAAAAAATAATAAAATACCACAGAGAATGGTTCATAGAGCTAACAGGCAAAGGATGGAGTGTCATCAAAACTAAAGCTCTCCCTATAGTCTCTGTAATTCTCTACCGTAATCTCTCTCAAATTAATGCTGTCGTGAAGTCTTGTTTGTTTGTAAGGTGGCGCACTTATAGAAATAGACTGTGATGAAACCGCTCTTGCATTTTGCCGATTTACTTTCTCAGTCACCTGCCCACTGGCGTCTTTTTGATCATCTCTGGTTGCCCCATAACGTCCAATCTCAGGCAACACATTTTTCAACTTTGTAACCATGTCTGCCAGAGAGAACCCAACTTGGGTGAGGTCCTTGTCCTTACCAAGCATCATTTTCTGGTAATTTATCTCGCAACGGACTGCTTCCCGTTTCTGGGCAAGACTGGCCTGGTTCATTCTCATCAACAGGCGGTCGACATCCTGCTTGCTTCTACAGGGTCCTCCATGTCTGGTGACAGCAGCTAGGATCGGTGATTTGCTAGAGAGTTCAAGTGGAGTTTTGTTCCATTCCTCAGTATCTTGAGACTCAGCAAAATTCACCGCTGGCGCTGAAGTCAACCCATAGGGATAGGCGTGACCATAGGGATAATCTCCCATCAGATGTGACAGTTGGCAGCTTTTCAGTTCTAAACATTGTTCTATGGAAAGGTGTTTGTTGTCAGTTCCACCCTGCAGGAAATCCTTCAGATTACTCTCTGTGATGTCTGTGATTGTTTTCACAGTCTTCTGCAGACACTTCCGGATTAAGGAACTCAGGTCTCTCTCGGGAGTGGGCGTGCAGTGCAAGAACACTTCCGCAAAGTTACTCTCCTGCAAAGGAAACTGAGAGAAGATGTTTCCAGAGCTTTCAGGCAGCAAGAGCGAAGAAGCATCCTCACTCCACTGAACAAGCTTCTGATGAAGATTGTATACATGCCGGTGGAAGTTTACATACTCTTCACTGCTCTTCAGAAGCTGCCAATATGGACCCAAGATTTTGCAGTAGACAATTGCAAGTACGCAAACAAGAGCCTGAATGAACATGTCATTGGCATCATCTTCGAGGCTTTCCAGAATGATGTTTGTTCTATATGCTGAACTGGACTTCAGATCAGACAAAAATGCCACGATGTCTGTGTAGTGATGAGCCACACCAGTAGCACACTCAAAGTAACTAATAAAGCGATTGGACCGGCATGCAGCCAGTTTCGGCCGCTTGTTTCTCATTTGACAATAATCTAGCCACTGCCCACCACAGCTATACTTTGTTTCACTGAGCGGACTCAAGAAGTCGCATACCATGCGGATGTAACGTGTTGATGCACTTTCAGAAAAGTTCACAAAATTCACAAACTTTGGGTTCTTGTCCCGACCAAGGCTTTCACCAGTAGTCAAACAAACTTCTCTCTCAAAGGTAATTATCTGCTGCTCAACTGCTTCACCTACAGCCAGGAGAAAACGGGCGTTGCAGTCAAGAAAATGCAACGGCGGAGTCACTGAACACAGATCCACTTGATATTTATTGATTTTCTCATTGAACTCTCTTATGATATTATCCTCTTGCAGCATTAAAGTAAAGTGTTTCTGCAGCAGATCCTTAGAAACCTGCTCCGCTTCATTGGTTTTAACTCCATGAACACTTGACAACTTCTGAAGAATTAACATAAACAAATCAAGGAGAGTCAAAACCTCTCCTTTACTTTCGTTCAGATTTATAGCTGTGTCATTCTCAACGTGCGTCTCTGTTTGACAGTGTTCAATACTTGAAGGGTCATGTTCTTCCTTCACGCTTACTAAATTCCTTGTCTGGTCTGGATAAAGAACACTATCTGCCTCAGATCGTACACTGTTCATTCCAAGTTCATCTTCAGTAGTCATTGATAAGGGTGCTTCATTTTCATCTCGACCAAGTACAGATTTTTGATCTATTGTTGAGGTTTCTTTTCGAAATACACTGTGTGCTGCTGGCTTTTTCACATTTTTCGTGGATTTTGAAAAAAATTGGTTCCTCTTCTGTTTTGCACTGTATGGCTTAGTTTGCAAACTGGATGGACCACTATGTAAAACAAATTCAGTCTGAAGAAAAAAATCTCGCAACCAATTGGAGCGATGTCTGTTTCTTTGATATAACTGATACTCGGGTCTTATTTGTAAGAGTTTTCTTTTTAAAGCTTTGTAGGTCTTATCAACATTATCTTTACTACAAAATTTATGATTGAAATTCCTCAGCCAAGCAAGTAAAACCACTAGATCCATCTTTTCTCGTAAAATAAAGCTGTAAAGTTCCATCACAAGGCCATTTGTGATATCAATACCTTCATCTTGTTCAGAAAAGTCTGACATTTTCAAAAGGTCTGATCTTCTAATTCCAGCTGTCTCACATATTGGACCAACAAATTCAAAATCAGCATTTGACTCCAGAAAACTCTGCCTTGCCTCCCCATTTAAACTCATGGATGTTTCAACAGTCCTTTCAATCAAGGCATGAAAATCTAATGAATGGTAAATTGGGAAAATCTTCCGAAGCCACTTCATAACACTTCCCCAAGAAACCTTCCTATCTTCTTTTAACATGCCCACTTGAATCAGGAGCTTGTTCTTGCATGGTGTGCCATCGAGTTGGAGTCTCTCTCCACACTGGGGTCCCAAAAAGTCTTCAACAAGTCTCAAGTAACTCTCGTCTCCTAGAATGAAAATAAAAGTGAGAAACTAGGAAAGTACTTCTCTACATTAGAGAAGAATGTGTGTTTACATGCATGGAAGGCCATAGATTCATGCAGCATTTCAAACCTGAAGAGTAACAATTAATTATAAAAATGTACATATAAAATATCCATACAGCTTTCAAGTTAAACTAAATTTGGACATAAAACAAGGGGCTAACTGGAATGATTTGTTTTACCCAGGTGGCTTTCGTAAACACGCTTTAAAATAATCACAGTTTAAAACATTTTGGATTTGAAATGTGTAGAAATCATTAAATTTACTCACTTAAATCAGAATCAGAACTGGTTACAGACTGGCCTGTATCTTCTGTGAAAACAGAGCCATGTTCTTCCTCCATTACTGTGGACAAAGATTGGTTTGCATTGGAGGTAGGTATAATAAAGTTCTGGAAAGCCATCACGATTGCTTGATTAGTCACGTGGAAGCACTTCACATTGGAAGTGAATGAAGTACAGTCGGTCAGTATTGTAAAGCAGAACTTTAACATCACCACAAGATCACTACAATGCAACTACATCTTAAAGGATATTCAGTTTGAGCATATAGCAACTATAAGCTATTAAACTGTGTGTCTCTGGAGTAGCCTAGCCCCTCTCTGTTATCATTCTGACTTAAACTAGCTTAGTTAACACAGTACTTAGTTTGTGAACAATATGTGTGCATGCAGTAGGTTTGAACAATATTGGAAAAATTTCAGAATGTGATATTCATATATAATAAATACAGTGATACCTCAGTTTTCTAACTCATTAGAACTCGAATTTCTTAAAAGTCGAACCAACCAGTTAAAAAATTACCTAGAACTCGATCTGAATCTCAGAAGTCGAACTGTGAACGCAGACCTAAGATAACTTGTACGCGCGGGGAAATGAGTCACGCGGCGTCTCTCAGTGGAAACAAAGGGTAACGCTTCAGTCTTTGCCTCGCATTCGCTGTGATAGCACCGTGCATGTTTACACAAGCTGAATACATATATTTAGACAGTAAAAATACTGTCTATCATTCTCTAAATGTAACAGTAATTATTATATAATAAAATACATTTTAAAATAAAGATTTCTTATTAATTATTTTAATATTAATAATAAACCATTAATACATTTAATTATAATATATTGTCCTGCCGAGCGGGGACGGAATGGAGAGGGGTTTAATTACAGGTAAGGCAGGCAAGACGCAGACGGACAAAACAATGACCGGACTGGGGAAACAAACTGAAACGCGGACGAAATACAGAGGAGTAATGACAACAACCAGAAGGAGCTGATCACACGAGGATTCCACACTGAGTTAACAAGGGGGCGTGGCACACGGAAGGAGCGGACGATCGGGGCAGGAAACATTGTTTGGATAGATTTATTTTCTTACTTTACAAATTACTGGTTTGATAAATGTGCTCAGCTGTGTTTAATACAGTATATGCTCTAAAAAAAAATAACAAATTTTGAGGCCGGGAACCAATTAATTGGTTTTCCATTATTTCTTATGGGGAAAATTTGATCAGAACTCGCACTTTTTAGGATTCAATCCGGAGTTTTGAACGGATTACGTTCGAGTTCTGAGGTACCACTGTATATCCAAATAGAAATTTTCATTATCTATCAATATAGTCTGTCAAATAAGTTGCTGTTTATCTTGAGTTGTGCCAGACTCAAAGCAGCAACGACACATAACGATCACATAACGATCACATAACGATCACATAACGATCACATAACGCATCGCAAACTGGTGGTTTTCCACTATAAATCATGCGAGCCATAACTGCACTGACATGGCCCCGCTTACAATAAGGAATGAAAGCATACTGAAACCAAACTGAGCTGGTTGCATCACTACCATTTGATTGGTTGAAATGCACGGAAATATTGGTGTTTGGCACATGGGTTATCTGAAGGAAAAAGGGTATATTTGATATATTATTCATTATTAGTAGCATCGAAGGTATTCATTCATTCCCGATAACTCTTGGAAATTTGAAACATGAAAATTTCTCACTTCCTACTTAAAAAGTACTGAAGAACAGCTAAACGGAATTGATTCATAATGCAAACTGACACATGCAAATGCTAATTCTGCTAGCAATTAATGCTTTCATAACACAGATTCTTACAAATTAGAAAATTACCACATATTAAAAATAATGATGCATACCATGTGAACAGTAAATTAGCGTCTTCTGTTTTACGTCAGTCTCTCTCCAAACCCAGCAATTCTTTACCCGAACTGACACTTCTGCAGTGCAAAACTGAAGCGAGCTGGAACTGCACTATATAGCTAGTTTCTCTTTGTCGTACAGCTTGGTTGTTGTATGGCGGTCACTGAAAAAGCATTAAACCGCTTGTACAATGGCTACCACACATTTAGTTTACACATTTGCGCTTAAAGACACCCATGCTTACGTATCGAAAATGCATTTATTAGCAGCCGTTAGTTCAAAATTGATTTTTGCGGCACCATCACCTGCCTGCCCTCCACAGTTAGGCTTAAATCTTACAATTTGGATTTTGTCATTTTGTTCATCTGACTTCCTCTCCCAGTCCCTGCAGGATGCCCCCCCCCCTTGAGCCTGGTTCCTCCCAAGATTTCTTCCTGCTGCAGAGTTTTTCCTTGCCACTATCACATTTGACTTGCTCACAGATAGCAATAAGACAGGATTAGCTAAAAAAGCATAGGTTTGACTATTCCATTCTTTTAATTTTCACACAATAACCTAAATGATTCATGTTTCTTTTTTTTTTGAAGTACCATCATATACTGGGGTGAAATGTCTTGAAGGTATGATGGTAGGAATAATCAGACACTGTCCAAGTCAAATGCAAACAAAAAAGTAATTGAATGAACAGTGGAAGTACTGATAGATAAGGTTCATCTGCATTTCATTCAAACTTGCTAAAATTAAGTCAGAAAGGCAAACCAAACAATAAGGAAAGTTAAAAAGAACTTATGCATAATTGCAGCTACAATGCCTCACCTGACAAAAAGCAGATAAATACCAAAAATAAACAAAAAGATATATAATGTGTAACGAGTAACAGTAGCTTTATGGCAAGACAAAGGGGTAATGCATAGACAGTGTAGCAGACATCTCCACTGCAGCCCAAAGCTTCAATGTCCTTACACCTCACAACCCTCTAGTACCATGTCTCATACCCTTAATGACCCGAACACCTCCAAACTCATGAGTGTAGCACGTGACATCACACTGTACCATCCACAAGCAAAGACCGTCATCCACCATGCGATATGTTAACCAGCTACCATCAGATGCCACCAGACAATACAAAAGGGGAAACTGATATTATATGGATGGGACCCACAGACACTGAAAGCAGAAAGGTTACAACACCTGTGTGATTCACAGGTGGCTCATAACCTATCTAGTCCTTCAAATGATGTGGGTGATGCCAAAGCAAATGAAAGCAACTAAAAACCTGGAGACTTATAAGTTCTTTATTTCTGGCTGGGCAAAAAAAATCTACAGAGAAACACGTGTAGATGAAATTTAGGTGTAGTCATGGGTAAGCAGAAGCATAAATCATATATTATATATACACACACACACACTCATACTCACCTACATACAGACATGTAACACACTATATATGTGTATAAAGTAAGAAATCTAAACCCAACCATTCACAGTAATAACTTCAGGTCAGGATAACGTGAAATATATGCGACTGACTATATTATTCATATATTTATTCATATATTACTGGAACACATAATTCGGTACCTGTTATATTTGTCAGTGGGATCTCCATTGTATCATTATAATCACCCTTTGGCGTGTGGCTTTCATGTGGGACAAGGGACAGACTGAGGAGTTGTTTCCATTGGTGTTCCTTTCTTGATGTCTGTGATGCTGACAGACTCTTCACACTGCGGCATCCAAGGTTCACGGTTGGCGCCCAGTCAATATTGCGTCTGTCATACGTAGAGGATGGTTTGCCTAATGTGAACAGATAATGGTGTTTAGGGAGTTTTTATGTCATATTTTTCAAACCACACAATTTTATGTAGTCAGTTTACCTCAAATTGTGGCACAAAAGCCATCAGATGAATAGCATTCACAATGGGTTACATCAGCTGTCACGACCATAAACAAAATGAGAGGCATGAGATGCAAAGATGTTAAGGCATGCTTCACTTTCCTGTATGCCGTTACAGACTGTGCACAGGGTGATGTAAATTTAGTCATCAGGGATGTCCGGCGCACTATTGATGCGCAGCATGGATTTTTTATGTCCAGTATCGATACAAATAATAATTGGGGGTGGGGATATAATCTTATCACTAAGATTTCACTTTAATAACCTCCACACTTAGTAACAACTAAGACTTGGACTGTGCATGTGCAGCCCAGATTTGTGTCTCTGGAGGACATTTTGGGTGCCAACTGCGCATGTGCAAAGAGAAATTGACTAGGTGTATCCGTTGTGTGGCAGAATAAAAGTGGTTGTAGTTATGGACATCTTTGTTAAGCAGCTGTGTGAGGAGGTGCAGAAGTATCTGCAAACACACCCATTACTCAAGGAGCACAAAGATGTATTCCAGTTAACGAACTGACAGAATGAAACTGCTCAAACACTGGGCAAAGAACAAAATTTCTAATTCTACTGGCATAGACAGAAAGCATATTAAAAACTTAAATTAAAAAGCCTACTACCTGTTTTTTTTGCAATACACCTGCTCAATACTGGTACAGTGGAATATCACTGCTGTACACATGCGCCAGCCGCGACCATCTGCGTCCATGGATAAATGATGTACACAACAAGCATGTACAAGCAGGCGGAAAAGTGAAGTATGAATTACGTTTATTAAGCCAATGTTCACTAGCTAAAGAAGCCCAGCACGATTATGGAGGAAAACAAGCACATGGAAAAAGTAGTAATCATCTAATATTTACTTATTCTTACCACTGACAAAGTGATCTCCACAAACTCTGCCGCCGTTAATGTTCTTCTCAGTGAGATCTTCTCTTGAGATGTTGCATAACCATTGTTGGCGGCGCAAGCTGGATAAAACTTCGTCTCTCCTCTCTGGGTCGCTGTTTTTTATAACTTTGGGAATCCTAAAGAATCCCTTGCCTTTGTCGCGAACACTGTTGCTGTGACAGCCGACAACAGCACAACCGACCATGATGAACGCAACAAAAGAGCACGGTACACATGTAGAAGTATCACGCACTAGACGAGAAGCTATGCACCAACATGGCGGATGACTGCCTTTGCTTGTTTTGGATGGCGCGTGACGTCAGGCGCAACCCTCCTGTCGTGATGACGTCCCCCCTCCCCGGCGAATCATTCCCCATGTGAAAATCGAACAGTACATCGGCGGTCCTACATTCAATTTCAAGTAAACCCTCGTTATTTATATTACATACATAAAAAAAACTTTCCCTTTTACTTAATTTACTTTTTTTTTTTTTTTTACAGAAATAGCTACTTAGCCCGATAGCAATTAGAAGGTAGCTTTCTACCTACATCTGTAATTATTACTGGAATGTTAACGTTTCTGCGAAGGTTCACTTATCACACAACATAACTTTCTTGTTACGTGTATGCACAATATACATATTATACGGATGGATCATAAAATACAACAAGATAGTACACAGTCCTTACCGTCGTGAAGTCTCAAAGTAAAACAAAAATTAAAAATTGCGCCCCTTTAACCTTAAGAAAAACAGCCAACTTTCTTTCCCAGCACATGCATCCTACAGGAAATAACTTCGTGTCCCACGTCGCTGATTGGCTAATCTCATCCAATAGTTGAAGCGGTTGTTTGCGCTGCACTCTGGGAATTTGGTAGTCGGAAAGAAAACAAAAACTGTCCGGTATGGTTGCCTGTTGTTAAAAAGAGCCCATGCATTCGCTTGAAAATAAAAATGTATCTTTAATAAAATATATTAAGTTCACTACTACGAATAACAAAGAATGGTCTGTATATTTGTACAGCACATTGATGTGTAATTTATATTTTCTCTGTCGCTAATCCTCCGATTTTTCGGAAAACAGCCTTTTGTGTTGTAATTATGTAGAATTTATCTGATATTGAATCTGTTAATAACCGTCTCTGTCTGCAGATATGGAGGATTTATCTGCTACGGGGCATCAAGACACAGGGGGAGATGCCTCGCCGAAGGCTGGGGGTAGCTCCTCTGGGCAGAGAGCAATGTTTCGGATGGATCGTCACATGACTAATTCTGGAGAAAAGAAGACTCCAAAAAAGGAAACCGCCACATCCAAAGATTCCCAGAAAAAGAAGAAGAAAACAAAACTGTACAGACGACCAAAGGTCAATTACACAGTCCAAGAGGGTGAGGACATGCTTTTTGTTATCTCCAACATAAACAACTATGACAGCATATGGAAGCCCAAGAGGAAAGCCCGTAAGAGGAAGAACACTTCAGGTGGCAAGACCAAACTCCCTCCTGCAAAAATAAAAACACAGATGGCAAAACCTCAAATGAAAAAAAAGGTGATGCCTGGCCAGGAAGCTGCACTCGTACCAGTTCGACATTGTGCAGAAGGGGAGGATGACAGCTGGAGCAGGAACCTGCCTGTGGAGCTTTTGGTAAACATTTTCCAGCTGGTGCTCAATCAGGAGGGAGCCATACCTTTTCTGTGCAGGTAATGTACTTAAGTTCTTGTAGTCAGCAGAGAAAAATTACAATATTCCACATTGTTTTATACAGAGTTTCTGCTGTATCTTTACTGTTATCTGCAGTGTGATATATTACACTTCTGAACTTGATATGCTTATAACAACATTACTGCCTCATCTTTTAATGCTGAGTGTGAATAAATGTAGCGTAACTCTTCTGTTCTTTGTTTCTAATTGGTTCCACAGGGCAGCCAGAGTTTGTCAGCTTTGGAATTCTGCAGCTGCTAATCCCATTTTGTGGCGCCGTGTTTCGATTGGCTACTGCTGGACGGAGCCTGGTAAGACCCAGTTGCCAAAAACAGAAATGAAGATCAAGAATACTGTAAGCTGGTTAGCCCAGAACAGGTCAGTACATTGGGTACGTTTCAACGGCACTCACCATGCTAGGCCTTCAGTTCTTCTTTTGAAGGCAATTACCCTCTTTTGGGAGGGCATTTATTAGCCATATTTACTAGCCATGTGGGCCTTTTCATTAGTATGGCAAGTACATGTGTCTGCAATGACATTCATGAAGCTTTCCTTAAATTTCAGTGTAGCATATTTGTAACCTTAATTAATGTTATTATCAGGGGTGCACATAACATACAGCTGAAACCAGGGACGATATGCATAAAACTTCTCAGAGTAAAATTTCTCTCTTAAATGCGTCACATTCCTCTGCTGACTGCCTTGTCCGATGTGACGCAGCATTTACGGAGCTTGCAATAGCCTCCTAAGCTTTTTTTGTCCGTGCTTGTAACAGCTGGGTCAAACTTTCCTCGCACTACCTCCTCCCATTCAATAAAGGGAAAATAAACAGTGTATCAGTACTTTAAACAGTTTCTGCACCCAATTTATGTAACATTATTTAAAAATAATTTTGCATTTTGTATTCTTTTTGTGTTTTAAAGATTTGCTCAACTCAGGGATTTTGCTCTTTGTCACTGGAAAAAGCATGTGGACTATGTTGTACAGGTCAGTATAAAAAGCACTTTCAATATCAGATGTGCTTCTATCCAAAGCAAACCCACTGGTGTATTTTATAAAGCTTGTACATTTTCCTTTTTACTTCTTGTAATTCCGACCATGATTTATCCAACAGTGTTTCCTTGTGGGGGGAAAAAAACTAATAGTAAATGTCCTATCTGCTCGGTCAGGTTGTTTCTCAGTTCTGCCCCCATCTTACATCGCTCAAGCTGACTTACTGTACTGGTATGACAGAGAAGGCCTTTCAGGACCTTGGCACCTACTGTCCATCACTGGAGACCATCAATGTGCAGTATTCAGAGGTGGGACTGAAAAAAGATTCACTTAAAAAACACTCACTGTTTACTTAGAAGCTGTTTATGTGGTAACAGAATTGGTTTATTGTCATCTTTGAATTTTGGTGGGTACATTGAATTATGGTGGTTATATTTCTAAAACATTGTCTTTGTGATGCAGTTTCAAATAGATGGTCTGGTTACTTACTTGGAAACATTCGGGAGCCGATTAAGAAAGATTCTCTTCACCTATGGATGTAAGATTGACAGACTCCTCTCTGTAATTGCAGTAAGTTGTGATTCTGATTTTCCTCATGGTGCACTTGACTGGTTCAATTTAGATACTAAGCACATCTACTTTGGTGCACCTTTGCACTCCTTTTCAGTATGTTGTATACGTTTTGTTACAGAAAGGATGTTGCCCTGGACTGACCTTACTAGAAATAAACACAAAGCTTGATAGTGGATTCTGCCAGCTTCCCATATGCATCCCAAGCTTGCAGAGTTCATGTCCTCAACTACAGGCAAGCATCAGTTGATGATCTCCTTATGACTTTCCATCCAGGGTGAATAAAAGAAAAATATAATATTTGTGGTTTATATTTTGACTGGTACTAGATTTTCAGAATGCTGAATGTCACACCTGTGATGAAAACAACCCGGAAAGCTCCAAGAATCTCAACTGGCTTTCCCCAGCTGATAGAGCTGTGCTTGGCCACTTCCTCAGTGTCTTTCATGACAGACCAACACTTAAACAGTGTGCTTCACGGTTCCCCCAATCTGCGGATCCTAGACCTTCGTGGCTGCACTCGAATCACCACTGACATCCTGTCAGTACTGCCCTGTGAAGGTAACTAGAATATGTTTATGATTTTTTACTGGACTAATGGACTTAGGTGCTTATTATGTATTATTGGATATGGTAAAGGAAAATCTGGATGCACAAAGAATTTGGCATTTCTAGTTTTGTGTCAGACAGCTACAGTGGAATTACTTGTATCACCTCTTTTGTAGCTGAGAAAGCAGTTTTCTTTCCCAGAAGTTATGCAATGCATCTAAACCTCAGACCAAACAGTAACATAGTGTAACTAGTACAGTTATGAGGAATAGTATTCATGTGCCTGTTGAGAATAAATATGACTGCCATTGAGGCAAAAAAATGAACCAATTTTCATTTGCCCATATAGGGCTGGAGTGTCTGTACTGGGGACTCTACTTCAGTAGTAACAACATGGTGTCCTCCAAGAAAGGCATCCACCTTCTAACACAGAAGTGGAGCCGCACACTGCGTGAACTGGACCTCACCTGCCAGCCTTTCTCAGAGGAGGACTTGGAGATCGCCATGGCCAACCTGGCACATGGCACTGGAGCTGAACTACTCCAGTCTCTCAATCTGAGCTCGACAAAGGTCAGCAAAAGTGCTCTGAGGTAAGTGGCCACCAAGAACTCCGCTGCTACAGGGGCTTTAGAGACTGAATTGCTTATATTTTAAGTTTTAAAAGTTTCTTCAAAGTAGCTGTATATTCTGCATAACGAAAAACAGAGAAGTTATTATGATTAAAATGAGAATATTTTAAAAAGTAATAAAAAAAATAAGTGTATTTAAAAAAAAAAAAAATCTCTATTATTTCAGGGCAATTATAAGCCAGTGTACGAAGCTGAAGTACTTGAACCTGACTTCATGTCGGTACCTTCCAAGAGGTCTGAAGAGAGTTTACAGATGTCAGGAAGACATTCACCAGCTGCTTGATAAAATTGTATAAAGAGCATATGCAACACACCTAGAATTTATTTCAGGATATACCATAATCCTACAGCAGTGATAGCAACACCCTTTTTTTCCCCCAATGAACTTCCTTTTTGTAATTATTGTGATTTCTAGTAACATTTGACGAGCCGAGTGTAAACAAAGCAATATTTCTGGGACATGTCACCAACGGAAAGCAGAAAGTTTAAAGGCAGCCTTTAATTAATTGTTAAGAGAAGGAGTCTTTAATTGTTCGTACCTTTAGTCAACATGTTTGAGTCTTAGAATGGAAAAGACCCCCTCGAATTGGGGACCAGTGACATGGGAAGGATCAGTATGGGTGTGAATTTCTTCTCATTCTTCAGTCATGCACAACACCCGAAAGACAAGGACCAGCCTGAAATTCACCCAGAAGCAAATCAAAGACATTATACCAGACAACAACAAGCTAAAGAATAGTCTGACCAATCTTTAAAACCAAATGGGTGCTCATAGCAACAGAGAAGATTAAAAGAAATTACATTTCTTCTTGGTTAAATTTAGTTTGGTTTAGTCATTGGTTTAGTCATTCTCAATCATTGTAATATACAGCTCTGTAAAAAATGAAGAGAACACTCTATATTTAAAAAAAAAAATCTACATTTTAAAATCCTGGTTCTGCTAGCAGAACGATACACAGCACGTCAGGCTTCTTCCAGGCTCAAAGTTTCCAAGACAGCAGTACATAACAAAAACAAGATGAAGCAAGAGACACTGGCAATGTTACCAGAAACCAGCCAGGTAGAGGGCAGAAGCAACTTTCTAATGCCAGATATGACCGTCAACTTATCCAAGGAGTGTCTCATAAAGGAGGATGATCTCAAGTGACCTTCAAAAGGAATGGTAAACATTAAGAAATTTGAAGTGCATTGCTAAGAAAATTCCTAACAGGCTCCTACATGCAGGACTGAAGACCTATAAAGCAAAGAAGAATCCTTTCATTAATGAGAAGCATGGAAGAGCCAGGCTGGAGTTTGCAAAAAAAAAAAAGTATATTTTACGCAGGCACATAACCATAAATTGAGAAATGAGTGAAACTGAAAACTTTGCTTAATATTTTAAGCAAAAAAATCTAAATTTTTTTCCAGAGCTGTACAGTGACTACAGCACAATCAATTGGCTGTGAGCTCAGCTCTTTGGTTGTTAGTTTGTCATGGATTGTAAACAGTCAGTGGGTTCACCTGTTTGGACTAACTCATTAAATACAATTGTATAAATATGTGTGTGTCAGTGTGTGGTGGGGGAGGGGGGGGATCACTTTGGCTAGTTATCCTTTGTTCTTTTGCAAATGTCATATGTGAGTTTCTGTGTTTCAGTGTACCATTCTTAATATTTTCTTGAATAAATACCAGAGTTTTTTATGCAATTATTTCTCACTAACTTTTGTTAGAGATGTTTGTTGGAGATGTTCAAGTCTAGAAGTCTTACCTACCTGTCCCCAATCTTTATATTGTGAAATACACATGTGAACGAAAAATATAATTTTTTTCTGGTCACATTAAGCAATGTTAATGGTTTTGTTATATATGTTTGGTATTTTCCTGTGCCTGTACAAACAAAATTGGTAAAGGAAGAATACACAATGAAACCAATTAATTTGCGTGGTTCATTTTATTTTTAGAACAATGTATACCAGCTATAAAGCTGCACACTTCATCAATTAATTAACTTTAAGCAATAACATGAGAATAAGTGCCGCCTTGTGCCTATGGCCAAATCACAGCCATGATATATTGGAGTACAACCGCATGACTTAGAGGTTGTTGTTGCTTTTATACAACAGTTCATCGAGTGGCATTTATAGATTAATACTAATAAGCCACACCAGATAATACTTTGCTTGATTTTTTATTTAAATGGCAACACTTTACTTGACTGCACAAATAATATAGTATACTATTACTTATGTATTAATTAACCATAAACTAAGTCCTAGTTACATACTGATCTCATGTTAAATCATCAATAATGAATCGTGACTCATGTTTTATCCCAAGCAGTTACTATATTTGTTACTATAAACCCATGTGAACCAATGAAGGAACTACTGAAGGAAAAAGTCATGAATAACACAAGTTAAATACTGATCTGATATTTGTTCATCATTAATGAATCATGATACATCTTTCATTTCATCCAGTTACTATACTTTTTACTATATCTGTTAATTCTGTAAAACTTCGTCAACTACTGAAGGAACAAGTAATGAATAACATTACTTACAGTAACAATGAAATACTCATACTTGTGTTTGTTCATCATTAATGAATCATGACACATTTTTTATCTCAAGTAGCAACTACCTGTATATTTGTTCATGATTTTTACTTCAGTAGTAATTGAATCACTACTAAGTTTTTGTGTCCTTTCAAGTAAAGTGTTCCCATTTAACCATGTACAGGCCTCCGCGAAAAAAAAAAAATGTTCCCACCAGCCAACTGTTGACTTGCCAAGCAGCACAAACATTTCAACGCAACACAGGTCACTCATTCCCAACTACATTGCACCATTTAAATTTGACTATGTAACTATGTTTTTAGATACACCTGTAAAGCAACATACATACAGATACATCTGATTGAACTGTTGTATAATTGTGAATAATGTCAATAAGGTAATTAGACCACACAGTCCTGATTCCACCCCCAGTGTTATTGCTAAATAGTGAACAGATACATCAATAAAATGTCACAGTTATCCATTGAAACCCTGCAAGTAACAATGTAAAACTCTTCCCATCTATCCATGTTCTGTAACCACTTGCCCAGTGTAGGGTGGCAGACAACCTGGAGAAGCTGTGTCAGGGAGCATTGAGACACGATGCATTCCAGTCTAACAAAGAACGTGCTTGAGACACCAACCCCCATAAAATGCATGTCTATAGGCTGTTAGAGGAAGCTGGAGTACCTAGAGAGCAAAAAGCACAAAATACGGGAAGAGACAAAAACTGGGGAAGAACAGGGTAAGTGGCAGAAATCAATGACAAACCCTGCAGGCATCAGGCCATTTGCTTTTCATTGCCATAAATTAATTACCAGTAAAATCAACCAACTAAACATCCACTTTGATTAGTATTGTTATAGTAAAGAAGTAAATAATAATAACATTATAATGATTCACCAATACATTTTTCTGTCCCTGCTTATCCTATTCAGGGTCGCACTGGGTCTGGAGCCTGTCCTGGAGGCTACAGGCATAAGGCAGGGAATGATGCGGGACAGGGCACCAACCCATTGCAGGGTATATACACCATTCGTTCACAAAAATGAACAAATAATAAAAAAAATTAACAGAATATGAGCTGAACTTAATTGAAGAGCGAAGACAAGAGCAGAAAAAAATGCCCTATATTTAGGTTAAAAAAAAAAACTTTTTTTTTTCCAGAAAACCAGTAATAAAACAAATGTTCAAAAACCAAAACATTATTCCCATCCCAGGCTAATTGAAGCTAAAAACTATTAAAAGCATCAGCTTGTAAATTATGTTGTAATGATCAGATTTGGCAAATATTGTACTGTAGAGTCTTTCTGACTTATGACTGGGCACCATCCTCACAGACAGGGAATTGGTATATACAGTACAGTGTACCAATTTCTAAGCTTCAATTTCTAGGCTTCAATTTCTTAGGCTTCAAAAAAGTTTTATGCAACATATATAGTAATTTTGTAATTAAAAAGTATGAAAAATATTGTGTTTATTTAATCTAATGGAAATGGTGTAAGAAAACAAAAGTCATAATCTCCTGTACATTGCATTTCTATTTGTAATAGTAAATTTTGGTCTGTTTTTTTCTATTGCTTTTTAGCTATAGGCTGTTGTAACAAGTAAATTTCCCTGGTGTGAGATCAAGAAAGCCTCATCTTATCTTGTCTCGTCTCATATTCAGCCAGGACTGCACTTAACCTTCTACTGGCTGAAGCCAACAGATATTTCACACACTTGACAGACTTTTTACACATTTTGTAAAATTGTCTCGTTGGTCATTACACTTGCAATTTATCAATTAAACCACACACTGTACTTCTCTGTGGCAACTATAGTACAGTGCGCAGCGCATATTGTGTGATAGTTGCCACAGAAAACTACAGTATATGGCCTAAGAATAGCACTGCCAGGCGTACAGCCACCTGAAAATTTTTTATATATAGTTTGTTCCCTGCCGATATACATAGATCTATTATATTTTACATATATTTTTTAAAATGTCAGTTATATGTGCAAGTGGTCGTAAGTCACATAGGTTATAAGTCGGTGACAGTCTGTATTGTATAATAATTCCAATAAGGACAAATGATTTTCTTTTTAGATTAGGTTTAAAAGTGTTACAAGAGACACTTCTTTTAGGGCCAATAAGGGGCAATTCGTGAAGATTAAAAAATCTGTCTAAGACTGTAATTGCTGACATAAGAAATCATCCATGTGAGGAACATTTGTATGGCAGGGCAGAGATGTATAATATGATCAATTTCAATAACAATTAAACGAAATTAACAAATAATAATTCACTTCCTTAAAGGCAGTAAAAAAAGGCCAGTTTCTGGATCCCTCACACATCGGTCTATTAATTGCAAATAGGTGAGGTTCTCCTGAGTGTTGGGGTCAAAAAAGCCTTTAGTGTCATCGCTGGGGTCAGAAAGGATCAGATTCATTTCCTCATCAAAATACTCTCGCTCATACGCCACTTGTACCGGAATTCGATGACTGTTCACTGGGTCAATTATGCCACCAGTGGCGATCTGTGCTTCCAGGAGCCGAATGCCATGGTCCTTGACGATCAGATCCTTCTTC